CACTTAACAACCGTGCGACTAACTTAACTGCAGTGACTCGCTTAACAACCGTGGCCGGGAAAGTCGTAAAATGGGGCCAAACTCGCTGAACCGCTGTCTTGCTTAGCAACGGAAATTTTGGGCTCAGCTGTGATCGAAAGCCGAGGACTTCCTGAACTGGCTGGGCTGCCATCCTTAGAGGAGATGCCTCACCGTTTCCCATTAAGTAGATGCAGTACTTCTTGTCTTCCGACACTTCAGGTAACGCTCGGGCCCAGTTGTGGTAAACAACTTTGTAGGCGTCTATCCACCACCAATCTTCCTGGGGCCAGTTCTGGAAAAGAAGAATCCCTTTTATCGAAGGGGAGGATCTCCGCCTGCTCACCCACCCGAAATCAGATTGTTTGATGATTCGGGGGAAATGAAAAAATGGTGGACTGAGGCAATCTCTCCTCAAGTACGGCTCTTGAGGGGTCTTTTGGCTCCCCCCCCCAAGCGACAGCAATGGCCCTCCAGACATCCAGAAGGCTCCGCCATTTTGCTGGGCCTTTGCAGGTTTTCACGGGTCTTGCTAAACTGGATTCCTCACGTTGGGTCTTCTAGAATGTAGATCTCCTGACCCACCGTCAGTGGTCAGTTTGCTGCTCTGGATGAAAAGTTTGGGAGATTTCCCTGGAGGGGGAAACTTCCATAATATGGTTTGTTTCCTTCCTTCCTTTCTCTCCTCCGTTCCTTCCTTCCTTCCTCTCTCTACTATTCTCCTCCTTCCCTCTTTTTCTTCCTTCCTTCCTCCCTCCCTCCCTCCCTTCCTTTTTTCTCCTTCATTCCTTCCTTCCTTCCTCCCTCATTCTTATTCTTTCTTTTCCTTTCTCTTTTCTTTTCTTTCTTTTTCTTTTTCTCCCTTCCTTCTTTCTCCATTCTTCCTTCACTTTCCTTTCTTCTTCCCTTCCTTCATTCACTATTTTCCTTCCTCCCTCCCTCCCTTCTGTCCTTCCTCCCTTCCTCCCTCATTCTTATTCTTTCTTTTCCTTCCTCCCTCGATCATCCTTCCTTTCTTTTTTCCTTCCTTCCTTGCTCTCTTTCCTTCTTTTCTCTTTCTTTTTTCCTTTGTTCCTTTCTTTCTTCTTTCTCATTCCTTCCTCCCTTCCTCTCATTCTTTTCCTTTCTTCCTTGCTCTCCTTTCTTTCTTGCTTGCTTTCTCCCTTCTTTCTTCTTCCTTCCTCCCTCTCTTATTTTTTTTCTTTTTCTTCATCCCTCCCCCTTCCTTCCTTCCTCCCTCCCTCCCTTCCTTCCTTCCTCATATCTACTATCTCTAGAAGAAGCCTGGGCTGTAGCCGGGGAGGTATACATCCTACCCCACTGTATATGAACCAACATTCTCACCAGCAAACTTATTCCTGACTTGTCAAAACGAAACTCAGAAAGGGCTGAAGAGCCCTCCATGTATTTCTTCGACCTCTGGTGGGACCACATGAACAACACTCATGTTTTACTCTGGGTCCACACCAAATGCTTAATCTGATTCCTGAATTCACCCACATTCTCATGACCTAGGCTGGGTAACATGGCAGAAAATAAGCCGGGATTGGACCTAATCACATTTGGCATGCTCTTTCTCAAACCCCCCCCCCCGCTCCCCCCGCACTTGATTAAAAAGCGATGTGGATAGAGAGAGACATTCTAAAATAAAACGAAAAGGATATTTACCTTTCCCTTGTAAAACATTCCGATCCAAACGGGTCCCAAGTTCTTAATTAGCAATGAGACAATGTAGTCGGACACGGCCGTTGTTTCCTTTTCATCAAGAATGGAGGCCAGGTGGGCACGCGTACCGTGCTTACGGCAGTCTTTCTAAGTAAGGGGAATCAGAACGGGCTCTTTTACTCAAGTCGCTCCAGACAAGGGGGGCTCCTACCTTGCTGGGATCCCGTGAGAAAAGAGAAGAGCAGAGCAGAAGAGCTTTATGGAATCTATTCCCACCCAGCCAATTCCTCCGGGAAATGCATGTATTGCATGTGTTGTTTGAGTGCCTGACAGCAGAAATGAGATTTCAACGTGAAGTCCTCGTTGCTCTCTCAGCTGGCTTGTCTTCTTGCTAGCACTGATGATGTTCCCTAGCTGGGTCATGAAACGTCTGCAAGAAAACAGCCCAGCTCAGAGAACATCAAGGACCCCACAGATACCCTCCTCCTTGTCATCGTCGTTCTCCTCCTCCTCCTCCTCCTCCACTCCACCAACCACTCTCTTCTAGCACTGATGATGTTCCCTAGTTGGGTCATGAAATATCTACAAGAAAACAACCAAGCTCAAAGAGCATCCCCACAGCCCTCCTCCTCCACCACCACCACCACCACTCCACCAATCTCTCTCTTCTAGCACTGATGATGTCCCCTAGTTGGGTCATGAAATATCTACAAGAAAACAACCAAGCTCAAAGAGCATCCCCACAGCCCTCCTCTTCTTCCTCCTCCTCCTCCTCCTCCTCCTCCTCCTCCACTCCACCAACCACTCTCTTCTAGCACTGATGATGTTCCCTAGTTGGGTCATGAAATATCTACAAGAAAACAACCAAGCTCAAAGAGCATCCCCACAGCCCTCCTCCTCCACCACCACCACCACCACTCCACCAATCTCTCTCTTCTAGCACTGATGATGTCCCCTAGTTGGGTCATGGAAACGTCTGCAGGGAAACCGTCACGCCCAGTGAGCACTGAGGACCTCTCAGATATTCTGACAACGATGTAACTGGGGGAATGCCAGGTGGGCTCATTGCCACATGTGGTTGGCAGTTCATAGTTCGGAGTGTGAACCTGGAGGGGCCCACCTTACCTCTGCCTCTGCCCACGTCCGCTTCTCGCAGAAGATTGAATAGCACGCTCCCCTGGAGGTCATCCATCCCGGCGGGCAGATTTCCGTTTCAGCATCACCTGTCGCAGAAGGAAGGGAACCTGGACCAGAGGCCACGTTTCAACACCCAGCGTGTAAACACAGGGAATCTTCATCTTGTACACCTCCTAACATCCTTCTCTGAGGGAGGGGGGGCGGTTCAGAAACGTGAACAATGAATGAATTAATGACAAAATGACAGAATTGGAAAGGGACCTTGGAGGTCTTCTAGTCCACACACAGACACACACACACCCCGCTCAACCTGGGCAGCACCAAAGCTCCTAGCAGGAACTCACATCTGTGCAACAGATAGATGGAAAGCAAAAGGCCGATGCGCACGAGAAGGATGGTCCGCATCTGGTTGGAGAAACAACAAAAAGAAATTAAAAGTGCACAAATTGAAGCACGTCATTATCTAGGCCTACATCAGTCCTCACCTAAACTGGAGGGAACCATGAATCAGAATCAGAATAGAGCTGGACGGGACCTTGGAGGTCTTCTAGTCCAGCCCCCTGCTCAAGCAGGAGATCCTTTACCATCTCAGACAAGTGACTGTCCAGCCTCTTCTTAAAAACCTCCAGTGACGGAGCTCCCACAACTTCTGGTGGCAAGCTGTTCCACTGGTTAATTGTCCTCACTGTTAGGAAGCTGCTCCTTAATTCCAGGTTGCTTCTCTCCTTGGTGAGTTTCCAACCATTCTTTCTTGTCTGAATCTTCTGTCCACAACAACATTTCCCGGAGCCTACAGGTGGTCCTCAATTTATGGCAACAACTGGGGCCAGGATTTCTGTTGCTAAGCAAAGCAACAGTTAAGTGAGCCGCACCCGAGTTTGCAATCTTTTTTTGGCCATGGTGTTACACAAATCACTGCAGCTGTTAAGTGAAGCACACGGGCGTTACGTGAATCCAGCTTCCGTCAGGGAGTTTGCTTCTCCAAATATGGCCAGGATTGTTGCAAATGGTGATCACATGACCCCGGGATGCTGCAACTGTCATAAGTACATGCCAGTTGCCACACATCCAAATTTTGATCACATGATTGTGGGGAACACCATGATCTGCAAGGTCCTGTCTTAAGTCCCTTTTTCAGTGCTGTTCTAACTTCAAAAACTTTTATTTCATTTTAATAAATAATAATAGTAATAATAGTAATAGTAATAATAGTAATAATGAGTCAAAATTGAGAAGACAGCAACAGACAGTAAGTGCCACCTATGCAAAGAAGCTGAAGAAACAGTGGACCACCTGGTAAACTGCTGCAAGAAGATCGCACAGACTGACTACAAGCAGCGGCATGACAAAGTAGCAACAATGGTGCATTGGAAGATCTGCAAAAAATATCATTTGCCTGTAAGCAAAAACTGGTGGGATCATAAAATAGAGAAAGTCATAGAAAATGATAAAATTAAACTGCTCTGGGACTTCAGAATTCAAACAGACAAGCACCTGCAACATAACACCCCAGACTTAACAATTGTCGATAAGAAAGAGAAAAAAGTCTGGATAGTGGACGTGGCAGTGCCTGGAGATAGCAGAATAGACGAGAAAGAACTGGAGAAGATCACAAAATACAAAGACCTACAAATAGAAATAGAAAGACTGTGGCAAAAGCAAGCAAGGGTAGTACCAATAGTCATAGGCTCCTTGGGTGCAATCCCAAAACAACTGGAGCACCACCTGAACACCATCGGCATTGACAAATTCGCTATTAGTCAATTGCAAAAGGCGGCCTTGCTAGGAACCGCTTCCATCCTGCGACGATATCTGTAATACCATCAAACATCCACATCTGCCTATCCCAGGTCCTGGGTAAGGACTCGATAAGTAGACAAAAATGCCAAATCCAGTCTGAACCTCTGACTGACTGTGTGATGATTAATAATAATAATAATAATAATAATAATAATAATAATAATAATAATAATAATAATAATAATATCTGCCTATCCCAGGTCCTTGGAAGGACTCAGTAGGTAGAACAAAAATGCCAAATCCATAATAATTTTTCCAAGAGTGGATCACAATAACAGCTTGTTAACAGAGAGTTCTGAAACTTAACAACTGTAGCAAGAAACATCGTAAAACAGGGGCAAAACTCACTTAAGAAATTTCTCACTTAGCAATGTAAATTCTAGGCTCTCTTGTGGTCGTAAGTCGAGGACTGCCTGTATATAAAGGCAAAACTCTCTTTTACTAATCAAGTGGACCATCAAGTTTACATTTATTTCGTAAACATATAGACCACCCATCTCCTATACATGACTCCAGACAGCTCCCCACAAAAAGAGAATTTTAAAAAGTACAAAGTGAGCAGAGTTCCAAAACAACAACAACAAAAAATCAGATAAGAATAGCAGCTGAGGAAACTCACCAACACTTCAACAAAGCCAAGTTGTGGGTTGCCCCACGTTGTGGGGGGGGGGGGCAATTCGACAACAAAACCAGTGCCTCGAGGGAGACAGAGAAATGCCAAAAACCGGTTTTGAACGGGAGTTTAAAGCCGGATTGGGGCCGTTTTGCACACCCCTGAGAAGTGGTGGTGCAAGGGAGAACGATCAAGATGGAGAGTGTGCTTCTTGTGAGGGAATGCGCGTTGTGTTAAGCTAGGAAAAACGGATCAGCAGCCCAGAAAGGACTGCAGGATTGCACGCCTGTGCCTAATTGGAGCACGCAGAGAGTCCTCAATTTACAACTGTTTGCTTAGTGGCCATTCCAAGTGACAGCGGCATTGAATGACGTCACTCACAACCAGACCTCACACTTAACAACCGGTTGCAGCGTCCCCAAAGTCGCGTGATCGCCACATGTGTCCTCCTCCCTCCGGCTTCCCAACAAGCAAAGTCAAATGGGGGGAAAAGCCGAATTCGCTTAAGGACAGCAGTGATTCCCTTAAGGACCAAGACGGTTTGCTTAATCGTGACCTCCCCCAAAAAAGTCGTAAAAATCAGGCATGAGGCTCACCGAACAGCCAGCTCGCTTAACGACAGAAATGCTAGTCAGTCGTAAATCGAGGACTACCTGAATTTGAGTTTTTGTGAGTTTTTTTTTCACCTTTCGCTCTTCAAAGAGATAGTTTTGCTGCCACGAGTTCTGGAATGCAAGCAGGTTAAAGGTGGGAATCGCTCACCTGTCTCTTTTCTGATGTTTTTCTTTATTCTGCTTTTTTCTTTTCTTTCCTAAAATGCTGCAAAAGCAGCTGCTGGGGGGTATTTATGACTCCAGTCAACAGGAAGCGTCCTGAACTGTGAAGAGGAGAGATTTGAGAATTTATTGGCGGCACCAGGAAATCTCTTTCCCATTAGAAAGAGGCACTCAAGCAAAGGATCTGAAACTGGGAGAGGCCGAAGGACCATCCGAACACGGAAAATCCCCCCAAGTCCTCAACTTAATGACCACAGTCTGTTGCTAAGCAAGGCGGTGGTTAAGTGAGGCGTATCCTGTTTTTACGATCTTTTTGCCATGTTGAATTTTGGGCTTGGTTGTGCTCGTAAGTCGTGGACTGTGTCGTGTGTTTCATTGCAACTTCAGACTTGCAGTCTGAACATTTTTCTTTTTTCTTCTCCTTTTTGCCAACAGCCTGCTCCATAATATTTGCTATGTAGTTCCAAGAAAAATACCAGCACACAATAATAATAATTAATAATAATAATAATAATAATAATAACAAATAGAAATAGAAAGACTGTGGCAAAAGCAAGCAAGGGTAGTACCAATAGTCATAGGCGCCTTGGGTGCAATCCCAAAACAACTGGAGCACCACTTGAACACCATCATCGGCATTGACAAATTCGCCATCAGTCAATTGCAAAAGGCGGCCTTACTAGGAACTGCTTCCATCCTGCGACGATACCTGTAATACCATCAAACTTCCACATCTGTTTATCCCAGGTCCTTGGAAAGGACTCGATAAATAGACAAAAACGCCAAATCTGAACGTCTGAGCATCTGGCTGACTGCGATGATTAATAACAACAACAACAACAACAATAATATAATAACAATAACAATAATAATTTATATTTTATATTTATATCTTATATTTTAAGGAGATGTCTGGTTGATACCTAGGATGCTGGTAGCAACCCGTGTCAACCATCAGTGCCAGCCAATTTGAATGTTCAGTTGACTGAGGTTCATGTCTAATGAATAAAAGATAATAATAATAATATCAACATGTTCCCATGTTCCTGAACAAAAACAAGTCAGGGGTGGATTCAGAGTTAGTTAAGCTGATTTAATAAGGCCTCCAGAACACAGAGAAATTTCCTGGTTGTAGTAATCACTCCTTAGTCATTGAAGGGTGCAAAGAAATGGCCACTTACTACGCAGCCTTTATTGTTTAAATAGAGGTTTGCAAATAGCAAAAGATACAGCATGGTAACAGCATTTCATTGGCTAAAATCCTTTACCAATCCTCAAGAGTAAAAAGCTAGAGGCCATAAACAGGGAAACTTGTTGTTCACGGGCTAGCCTTATCAAACTGGCAAGGTCACACAGACCTGCGTACTGTCACGTCACCATGGTGATATGAGGGGGGAGGGAGAAGATAGATGCAGAACAAAGGCACAAGCGTTGGGGGGCGCAGTTTTCCACACACGACTTTCGCCTATCTCTCATCTCTACACCTGGTGACTTTTGATAAAGAGGATTAGATGAGTTAGTACTGCTTTACAAAGCCTTAGTAAGGCCGCACCTGGAATCCTGCATCCAGTTTTGGTCACCACATTCCAAAAACAAAGACGTTGAGACTTGGGAAAGAGCGCAAAGAAGAGCAACTCGGAGACAAAAAATATATGAAGGAGGGGTGCAGGAATGAGGGATGGCTAGTCTAGGAAAAAGAAGAACTTGGGGTGACAGGATAGCAGCAGTGGTGGGAGTCAGCCAGTTCACACCAGTTCAGCAGCTAATTTTTGGTTGCCCAGGCCCAGAATGGTTTTCTGGAAGCGGCATCCACACAGAGAACCGGTTGCTCACCTATTTGAATCCCACCACTGGATGGCAGTCTTCCAACATCTCAGGGGCTGCCATAAAGAAGAGGGAGTCAGGCTATTCCCCAAAGCACCAGAAGGCAAGACAAGAAATAATGGATGGAAACTAATTAAGGAGAGAAGCAATCTGGAATTAAGGAGAAACTTCCTGACAGTGAAGACAATTAATCAGTGGAACGAATTGCCTTCAGAAGATGTGAGTGCTCCATCACTGGAGGATTTTTAAGAAGAGACTGGTCAGCCATTTGTCTGAAATGGTATAGGGTCTCCTGCCTGAGCAGGGGGTTGGACTAGAAGATATGAAAAATATGAGCCAGCCGTGTGCTGCAGCTGCCAAAAAGACCAACACAGTGCTGGGCTGCATTTACAGAGGGATAGAATCCAGATCACGTTAAGGTTTAATACCACTCTTCAATGCCTTGGTAAGGCCACACCTGGAATACTGCATTCAGTTTTGGTCACCACGATGTAAAAAAGATGTTGAGACTCTAGAAAGAGTGCAGAGAGGAGCAACAAAGAAATGTTAGGGGACTGGGGGATAAAACATATAAGGAACGGTTGCTAGAATTGGGTATGTCTAGTTTAACGAAGAGAAGGACAAGGGGGGACATGATAGCAGTATTCCAATATCTCCCATAAAGAAGAGGGAATCAAGCTATTCTCCAACGCACCTGAAGGCAGGACAAGAAGCAAAGGGTGGAAACTAATCAAGGAGAGAAGCAACCTAGAACTAAGGAGAAACTTCCTGACAGTGAGGACAATTCATCAGTGGAACAACCTGCCTCCAGAAGCAGTAAATGCTCCAACACTGGAAGTTTTTAAGAAGAGACTGGACAGCCATTTGTCCGAAATGGTGTAGAGTTTCCTGCCTGAGCAGGGATTGGACTAGATGACCTCCAAGGTCCCTTCCAACTTTACTATTATTACTATTACTTTACTACTATTACTACTTCCAAGGTCCCTTCCAGCTCTATTCTTATTCTGATCCTGGAATTCCGTGCCTGCTGGATGCTACTCAGCTCCATTGCTGGGCCATGCCTGCGTTGCAGAGACGTAATTGTGTTTCCTTAACCCATTGTGGAGTTTTGTGTGCATTGTGGGACGTCTCCGTGGCTTCTGTTTCAACTGCCTCGGAAGAGACGTCACATGGACGCCACATTAGTCTCGAGACAAATCCCCTAGCTGGACCTTTTGGCTCCAATGAAACCGTAAACCTCCCCCCCCCCAGAGCTGGTCTTTGAAAGGGGGGGTCTTCACTTAAAACCCCAAAGACATTTCCACTTCCTTTGGACAAAAAAAAAAAAATTGCAAGGAAATCAGATTAGGTTGAGACAGACCAGCTGGCCCCCTTCATGCTTCACCAGGCTCCTTCCAGCGAAAGATGCCTCTGAAATTCTGGAAGAGGATTCCAAAGATCTGGAGAACCTTCAGTCCTGCCTCCAACACAGACCAGGAGAAGACCTTTGTGGGAATTCTGGCCTTACATGAGGTCTCAAGTTGAGCAATACCTGTACTTAGGTTTTGCACGATACACAACTCCGTCAAGTGTGCATTTTTGTGCAACCTACAACGGGGCTCCTCTCCGTCAGGGAGGGGCCAAGACTATCCTGTGTTTGCCTAGAATAGATTTTTTATTTTATTTTTTTAAAACATTTTCTGGTATTCTGCAAAACATCTGGTTTTAATTGACCCTTGGGCCACGCAGCTGCCCCCTCGCCAAGGGCCTTGCCGCGGTTCGGCCAGCAGGTGGCGCCAAAGCCTTTCTTTCGCCTGCCTCTTCTAACCCTCCGCGCCTCCCTCGCCAGGTGAGGACAGGTGAAGGCTTCACCTGCAGGACAGGTGGCGGCGGCAGCAGCCGACGGAAGGGCGGGGTCTGCCTCCCCAGGGGGCTGCGGGGAACGGACCTCCCCCACTTTCCCCCTCCGGGGTTCAACCGCGCCCCCGACCTCCCCTTTGGCCGAAGTGGGGTCCGAGAGAGCGTAGGAAGACCCCCCCCAAAAGGGGTGTCGGGGCGCTCCGTCAAGCAAATGGGGCGGGAGGGGGGGCTACCTGGCAGAGGGAGGGGCGGCGAGGTTGCAAAGACCCGCGCCCCTCCCTTCGCTCAGGGAAAGAGCCCCCCCCCGTGCCTGCTTATGGGGAGGGGGATCCCGGCGTGGGGCAGGTGGGCACGAGCCAGTCCCCGTTCGAGGCCCCCGTCCGCGCCCGTCCCCCGCGATCCGCCCCGGGACTTCGCTCCGCCCGCCCGCCCGCCCGGCCTCGCATCCGGGGGGGGGGCCGGCGGGCTGTCCCTCCGAGACCGCCCCCCGCCCACCCGTCCGGTCCGGCGGAGGGCAGAGCGGAGCGGGCATCCCCGGGTGGGCGTCATGCGGGGCTGCTGGCAGCTGTGGGCGCTGCCCTGGGCGGCGCTGGCCCTGCAGGGACCCTCCTGGACGGGCGCCGGGACCCCCGAGGGCACCGGGTCGGCGCGCCGGGACTTCGAGGACGACGGTGAGCGCCGGGGCTTCGGGGGGGCTGGCGGGCACCAGCTGCAAGCGGGGACTGCTGGCAGGGGAGGGCAGCAACCCCCCCCCGGGTGGGTTTCCACGATGCGTGCAGCCCACCCGCTGACTCGACGTCGGGTTGGGGTGGTTCGCGTGCAGCCTGAGCCGCTGGGAAGGGGGCTTCGTGGTGGGGAGGGGGGAGCGGGGAAGGGAAGAGCCAGGGCTTTCGGGTACACCGCCCCTGGCTTTGGAGGCTCTGCTGGTCCGTTCCCAAAGGGAGGGTGAGACAGCCATTTGTTTCCTGCCTGAGCAGGGGGTTGGACTAGATGACCTCCAAGGTCCCTTCCAATATTATTGTTGTTGTTGTTATTGTTGTTATTATTATTACTATTACTATTATCCTTGTAAAATCAGTGATCCGGAAGGTCTGTGGAGCTTCTCCAGGTAGTTCCTGGTTGTCCCGAAGGTGCCTTTTTCCAGGAGGCAACTGGACTTCCTTTGTTTTTCCCTTTGAAGAGGTTTCGCTCCTCATCCAGAGAAGCTTCTTCAGCTTCCACCATCCAGTCAGAGCCGAAGAAGCTCCTCAGATGAGGAGCGAAACATCTTCAAAGGAAAAAAAAAAAGGAAGTCCAGTTGCCTTCTGGAAAAAGGCATCTTCGGGACGGGGATCAGGAGAGTCCGCGACCCGATCTGTGGCTTGCCAAGGGGTCCACTTTGGGCAGCTTGCAAGGTCTTGTCCTGGGCGACATCCAAGGTCCCTTGAGGTCATCCAGCCGAGCCCCGCATAGCAAAGGAAGCTCCTATCAAACTACAGGCAGTCCTCGACTTAGGAGCGCAACTGAGGCCGAAATTTCTGTCGCTGGGCAAGACCTGTTAAATGAGTTTTGCCCCATTTTGCGCCCTTCCCTGGTATGGCTGTTAAGTGAATCGCCGCCATTGTTAAGTCAGTCACACGGTTGTTAAGTGAATCTGGCTTCCCCATGGACTTAGCTCGTCACCAAAAGGATCACGTGACTCGGGGGACACTGCGACGGTCATAGATATGAGTCGGTTGGCAAGGGCCTGAATTTGGATCACGTGACCACGGGGATGCTGCAACGGTCGTAAGTGTGAAAAATGGCCGCAAGAGTGAAAACCGGTTGTAATTCCCTTTTTTTTTCAATGCTGATGGAACTTTGATTGGCCACTAAATGAAGGATTGTAAGTTGAGCGCTCCCGGTAACCTAAGTGCCCCTGCCAGTGAAAGCAAAGATATATTATGTCTACAAGCACTCCCACCATCTACTAAGAGGAACATTCATCCAATTGAGCAATAAGGCAAACTGAACCAAGTAGTAGATTTATTTTTCATGGCCAAACCATGTTGACTTTTGCTTCTTAGGACTTTCCCTGTGTGTGCTAACACACTGGCCTCTTGACAATTTGCTGAAAATCACTCCCAGCTGTTGATGCCCCATCTTCCTGGATATCCTGGTGGCAGACAGCAACAATATTTGCTCTCCTCCAGGCAGCTGGAACTTGACTAGGGTTTTCTCCAAAACGGCACGAGAGTTTTCATCCAGCAAGTTTTTAATGAAATTTTGGGGTGCGATTTCATCATTCAAAATGAAACCCGCTCTTTAAATAAATCTCATTTAATGCTGCCCAGTCACCCTGCCTTCCACAGTCTCCAGTTTTGTGTTGGAAGAGGGGGAGACAGAACGAAAACGCTTCTGCCTTTTCTTTGCTCGCTGATCCGCAGGGTCCCTTTTGTTGCCTTTTATTTTTATTTATTTATTTTTTATTGAAGTTTTTATTAAGGAAGAAAAAAGGATTAAAAACATTGAACGTGGTAAATCGTCTTTGACTGACATCTCAGTCCATATTGTACATTAATTACATATAATATATCTATATACAACTTTTCAACTTTTTTTTTAAAATTAGCATTCTTTACCCAAATGTAGGGGGTGTTGTTGTTTTTTTTTAAAGAAAATTGTATTGATTTTCTGGTTTTACATTTAAATATTTGAAAAGCAACGTGGTGGCTGAGTTGATCAATAATTCCAATGAAGGTTTTAGCAGTCAGGCCTTACCATGAGAATAGCCTAAAAAATCTACCTCTTTGGGCACGTTTTGGGCACCAGGGACCGGTTCCGCAGAGAGAGGTTTTTCCACGGACCGAAGAGTGTGTGGTTTTGTGTGGTGCCTGCATCCCGCGGATGGGGCTTTGCTTGTTTGTGCGGACCAGTTGCTGACATGCACAGCCCGATACAGGTCCATGGACCAGGTGTTGGGCCCCCCTGCGATGGATAGTGGCTTTTGCACTGAGCTGCTGGCTGGGAGGAATTGGCTGCTACTTGGCTGCTGTGGCATCTTCTTTGCCTTAGCAAAATCCTAAATATAGGTACTCCTCGCTTTATGACCGGTCACTAAGTGAGGACTAAGTCGTAAGTTGACGACTACCTGTATCTGGGATTTTGCAAAGGCAGGGAGGAGATCCCGTCGCTGATTGAAGTTCTAACGGGCCTATCTGGGGGTACTATTAACCCAGATTTGAAGTCCTGGTGGCCACCCCCACACGGTCGTGTGACCCAAATTCAGCCCTCGGCAACCAGGCTGCATTTACGGCTGTTTGCGGTGTCCCTCAGTCACGTGACCTCATTTTATATGAATGTTTTCCCCCCAAGTGCAACGTTTACTTCTGTTTTTTGGTGAAAAGGCATCTTCCAGGAACCATGGTTTGGCTTAATGACCGTGGGTGTTGACCTAATGACTGCCACAGAAATGTCATAAAATTGGCTCTGTTGTGTGACTGTTGTGTGAGTCTATAAAATGGGGCAAAATTCACTTAACGACTGTCAAGCTCCATTCTGGTCGTACGTCGAGCATCATCTTGTCATGAAAGTTCCTCCCCCATCCCCAAGAATAAGAAACCCACCCCACCCATCCCCCTTTGCTGTTTTGCAGAGTTTTAATGAGTTCCATGCCCCAACAAGTTTTAAGGCTTGCTTTTAGCTCATTTTTTTTTAAATCCTTGTGGCTCTGCTTTACCCATTATTTCTCAGGTGTTATCCCTGCAAACTCCCTTCCCTTAAGAAACCGTCTTAGTTCAGTATGGAGACAACCTGGAAGATTGGCCCAGTTGTGCTTTCCAAGCCCAGGTGTGAGATACGAGACCTGCAGGATCCTTGTCTGATCTTCGTGCTTTCCTTCTGCGTCTTAGCTTGTGTACTTGCTGTGTAGAATGCGTCCGTGGGAACATTTATCAACCCTCCCATTGGATCCAAACCAACAGAAGGGAACTTTGCAGCCCAGGATTGGACTGTGGGGTCCCTGGTGCTCTCTGAGCCGGGTGGTTTTCTTGCAGACGTTTCGTGACCCAGCTAGGGAACATCATCGGGGCTAGAAGATAGTGCGGTTTGTGGAGAGGAGGAGGAGGAGGAAGAGGAGGAGGAGGAGGAGGAGGAGTAACATGGGGTCCTTGGTGCACTCTGAGCCTGGTTGTTTCCTTGCAGACATTTCATGACCCAACTAGGTAACATTATCAGGGCTAGAAGGGAGTGGGGTTTGTGAAGAGGAAGGAGGAGGAGGCGCATGGAGTCCTTGCTGCTCTCTGAGCTTGCTTGGTCTTGCAGGCGATTCATGGCCCAACTAGGTAACATCACCAGAGTTAGTCTGGAGTTTGCTCTCTTTCTATTCTAGTGGCTCACCCTGTCAGTGTTGTTGGGAGTATCCTTGATGCCTCCTCAATTAGGGCATTGTTTACTCGACGTCTGAAGCCAACCAGCAAAGCGAGGTTTTAACCCCCTTCAGAAGGCCAAAAGCCTTGGAGCAGTGCTGGGGGGGAGAGTGTTCCAAAGGGCTGGGGCCACCGCAGAAAAGGCTCTTCTCCTTGACCCCACCCGCCAGACTTCCTTAACAGACCGCGTCCGTACCAGGCCTCTTGCGTTGGCCGCAAGTGGGACAGGCTGATTCCATTGGGGTGAGATGGCTCCTCAATACCCCTATTATGCCCAAGCAAGTGCCACAGGGCCACCTACAAACTTCTCAGAGGCTAAATCCCCACCCACCCCAAATTCTCGGCTGGTTCTTCTGGGCTTCCAGCACTGGGACTTGTGTAGACGCGACACGGCCACTAACCACCCTGCTCTCCCTTCACAGTCCTTGACCTGCTGGAGGCGCTCAACATCAGCCGCTCGGTGCCAGGCGTCAGCAAGACCCAGGGTCCCGATCCGGGCATCCCGGCTTGGAAGTTCCGCCGACGGGTGCCCGTCCTGACTCTGCCCTGGGATTACTCCGTCTACCTACTGTCCACGGTGCAAGCCGCCCTCGGCTTCCACTTCGTGGCCCGCCAGAACCCCGGATCGGAGGGGACGCTCATCTCCCTGGCCTCCCCGGCAGCCTCCAAGCGGGACGGGCAGCCCCTCCTGCAGCTGGCATCCAGCACTCAGGCGGACCAGTTACGGCTGGCGTACCGGGCAGTGCATAACATGGAGCCGGCCTCGCTGGTCTTCCCCGGAAGCACCCCGTTTGCCCACGGCCGCTGGGCGCAGCTGGCCCTGAACCTGGAGCCACGGCGCATCTCCCTCTACGTGGACTGCCAAGAGCCCTTCATTTTTGAGAACCGCCGTGGGGAGGAGCTACTCAGCCTCCTCTTGCCCCTCGACCTGCAGATCACCTTTGCCAGTTTGGCCGGAGACGAATCCAGCAAGTTCCTGGTAAGTCCAGCCAAGGGGCAGTTAGCTGTGACCTGCATCCAGAACGTTGCCAAGCCCACTTTGGTGCTTAACCCTGAACCCCAATCCTCCGTCAGTTTAACGAGGCCAGTTGGGGTTCCTTCATGCCACGGACAAGGCTTGCTTAATGCCAGTTTCCTTTCTGTGGTTTGGGCAGAATTTATACATTTTTATAGTTGTGTTAGAAATACAGGAAGCCTTCCATTTATGACCACAATTGAGGCTGAGATTTCTGTTGCTAAACGAGACATTTGTTCAGCGGGTTTTGCCCCATGTTACAATCTTTCTTGCTCCAACTGTTAAGCAAATCACTGCAGTTGCTCAGTTAGTAACCCTGTTGTTAAGTGAATCTGGCTTCCCCCATTGACTTCGCTTGTCAAAAGGTCACAAAAGGGGCTCACGTGGTCCCTGGACACTACAACCGTCATAAATATGAGTCAGTTGCCAGCCTCTGAATTGCGATCCCATAACTATGAGGATGTTGCAAAGGTCGTAACTGTGAAAAACGGTCATCAGTCACATCTTTCAGTGCCGTCGTAACTTTGAACAAACTACCAAATAAACCGTTGTAAATCAAGGACTATCTGTACTACATAGAGAATTATATGTTAGCAGGCCCAGGCTCTGCAAAGTTACTGACTAACAGACTCTGAAATCCTTCAAACTTACTCAAACATAGGAATTAATTAAACACTTATTTCAGATTGTAAACAGGCCCAAGCAAAGACACAAAATGCAATCAACACAATGTAAACATAATTATAATGCTCACAGTTCAAACGAAGAAGAGACCCCATACACATCACTTGATTTAATTAAGCCCTTCTCCAGGTCCACACATACACATACGCATGACCCTCACGTGTCACCCTAGAACCAGCACGTACACATACCCACGCCCTTCAAGACCCCACACCAAGGACGCGCGCCCTTATAGAACAGCCCTTCAGTGCTTCTTCTTCCCTGTAGCTATCCCCGTGGGCGAATCACCTTGCTTTTCGGAATAAATAATCTTCCTTTCCTTGCAGCTGCATGGATTTAATTTTGATTTCTTTAACTTCAGTTGGAACCCCGTATTATTCTTCAGACAGTGGCTTAGCCAGTCTATCAGAGGGGGGCTCTCTAAGCTGTGAACCCTGGTGGAATTTTTGCGTTAGCAAAACACCCATGTTTTTAAAGGTCATTTTGCAAATTTATTTTTTAGCCAGGGAAGTAATCCAAGGAGATGAGAAATAGCGGCCAACCTGCAGACATTCAAAAAAAAGGGACAAGACAGTTATTTGGGGGAGGGAGGGGGGGGCTAAGGGTTTCAAGGACCTCTTGCAAGTTAAGTTGCGAGAAAGCTGTGCATCAAGAGTGGCTTGGAGCATTATGGATATTGCTAAGGATAGGACTGGCGTTGCCCTTTCCTCGCTATACACCTCTCCATGTTTGTTAGTTTGTCTGTTATTTATTTATTTGTTATTTATTTATCCATCCATCATCTATCTATCTATCTATCTATCTATCTATCTATCTATCTATCTATCTATCTATCTATCTATTTACACAAATATATCTCACCCTTCTTCCTCCTCCTACTTTCCCCATAACAATAACCCTTTGTGGTGGGCTGGGCTGTGAGATAGTGACTGGCCCAAGATCACCCAGCCAGTTTTCGTGCCTAAGCTGGGACTAGAACTCACCGTCTCCCAGTGATTGGCCCAAAGTCACCCAGTTGGCTTTCATGCCTAAGGCGGGACTAGAACTTACCGTCTCCTGGTGATTGGCCCAAAGTCACCCAGTTGGCTTTCATGCCTAAGGCGGGACTAGGATTCCCCCGTCTCCTGGTGATTGGCCCAAAGTCACCCAGTTGGCTTTCATGCCTAAGGCGGGACTAGAACTCCCCGTCTCCCAGCGATTGGCCCAAAGTCACCCAGTTGGCTTTCATGCCTAAGGCGGGACTAGAACTCCCCGTCTCCCGGCGATTGGCCCAAAGTCACCCAGTTGGCTTTCATGCCTAAGGCGGGACTAGAACTCTCCTGGCGATTGGCCCAAAGTCACCCAGTTGGTTTTCATGCCTAAGGCGGGACTAAAACTCCCCGTCTCCCGGTGATTGGCCTAAAGTCACCCAGTTGGCTTTCATGCCTAAGGCGGGACTAGAACTCCCCGTCTCCTGGTGATTGGCCCAAAGTCACCCAGTTGGCTTTCATGCCTAAGGCGGGACTAGAACTCCCCGCCTCCCGGCGATTGGCTCAAAGTCACCCAGTTGGCTTTCATGCCTAAGGCGGGACTAGAACTCCCCGTCTCCCGCTTTTTGTAGCTTTATGTCTTAACCATTAGACATTGGTGACTTTGATGGATTTTCTATTTTATTTTTTTTGCAGGGCTCCTGGCAGACGGCCGAGATCTCCCCCCATGGCTTCCCCCACCGCCCCTGGCACTGTGAGAACCTGCTGGGTAAGTATCTCCAACCGAATTGCAGGTGGGGCTGTGTGTGTGTGTGTGTGTGTGTGTGTGTGTGTGTGAGAGAGAGAGAGAGAGAGAGAGAGAGAGAGAGATGTTTGTAGCACTGCTGTGGTTCAGCAAGATCTTTTTTCCCCTGCAACCCGCTGACCTAGAACTGGGGGGGGGTCCTCCAGGAGGGACCAAGTCCGAGGGGGCAGCTGAGAGGCCAGGATCAAAGGGATCCCAGCAGTGGGAAACTTTTTCTTCCCTCCAGCCCCCCCCCCCACATCTGTGCTGTGGGCCAGATGTTCCCATCCAGGGCGGCTAAAAGCCGTGGGCCTTGGCTGGGCTCCAGCCAGACAGGAGGCAACAGCTGCAGAGAGGCAGGCTGGAGCCCCGCAGGTGCCCGGGTGGCCCAGCGCCACGGAGGGCAGGAGGAGGAGGAAGGGAGCCCCCTGGAAGGGGCAGGCCAACTGGCTGGCCCAGTTCTGAGCCAAATTGGAGAGGTTTCTCTGCAGGTGGACTGGGTGTCGATAGGAGATCCATCATTCTGGCAAGCGGCAGGTGTGTGTGTCTCTCTTGGCTTCACACTCCTGTGGCCTGGCAACTGTGTCCTGGGCTTCCTGCATTGGCTCTGCCTCCTCCTTCCTCCTCATCCCTCCATCCTCCTTCTCCTTCCTTCCTTTTCCCTTCCCTTCCCTCTCCCCCTTCTCCTCCATCCCTTCTCCCTCTCTTTTTCCTCCTCCTCCTCTATCCCGTTCTCCTTCTTCCCTTTCCCTTTCCCCTTTTTTCCTTCCTCCCTTCTTTCTTCTACTCTGTCTCCATCCCTTCTCCCTCTCTTTCTCCTCCTCCTCCTTCTCCTCCTCCTCCTCCTCCCTTCTAGCACTGATGATGTTCCCTAGTTGGGTCATGAAACGTCTGCAAGAAAACCACCCAGCTCAGAGAGCATCACAGACCCCACAATCCTCCTTCTCCTTCCTTCCTTCCTTCCTTCCTTCCTTCCTTCCTTCCTTCCTTCCTTCCTTCCTTCCTTCCTTCCTTCCTTCTCCTCCTTTCCACTCCTTTCTAGCACTGATGACGTTACCTGGTTGGGTCATGAAACGTCTGCAAGAAAACCACCCAGCTCAGAGAGCACCAGGGACCCCACAATCCTCCTCCTCCTCCTCCTCCTCCTCCTCCTCCTCCTCCTCCTCCTCCTCCTCCTCCTCCTCCTCCTCCTCCTCCTTCTTCTCATTCTCCTCCTCCTCCTCCTCCTCCTCCTCCTCCTCCTCCTCCTCCTCCTCCTCCTCCTCCTCCTCCTCCTCCTCCTCCTCCTTCTTCTTCTTCTTCTTCTTCTTCTTCTTCTTCTCTCCCTTTTCTCAGCCCTTCCCACAAAGAAGGAGCTGGCTGGGAAGCGTGCTCTTTCTGCTAATGGCCCAGGTGGGAGGGTGGAGGTCTGGGGAGGGGTCTCTGAGAAGTGGCCAGACTCCAAGCAGCCCAGGCCTCGTGGCCAGAGCAATTCCTCCCCGTCTCTCGGCCACCGTCGAGTATGAGCCTCAATGGCTGCATCTTCTGGTGGAGATCCAGGAGGCAAGCTGGAAAGAAACAGAACAAGGCACCCAGAAGAAATCGGGCACATGAATAACTTTCGCACAAGGGATCCCTTTGTTCTGGTTTGCATAATTTGGCCTGGTTCTATTTCGGTCAATTAGATTCAGATGGCGCAAAGGCCGCGTCTGGGGGAAGCAGCCGTGGGGTGTCTTGGCTGCACATCGCTGGACATCCAGCTTAGCTATTCTGTCTGACTTCTCTCAAGTACAAATGTGCAAATACATATTTTTCCATCAGACAGAGAGCACACTTCCTCCATCCGTTTTTCAAGAAGTTGGTTTTAACCACATAAGAGCCAGTTTGGTGTGGTGCTTAGCGTTGGCTTAGAAAGCAGGAGGCTGAGTTCTAGTTTATGCATAAAAGCTGCCTTTGGGCCAATCACCAGGAGACGTTGAGTTCTAGTTCCATTTACACATGAAAGCCAGCTGAGTACCTTTGGGCCAATCACCAGGAGATGGTGAGTTCTAGTTCCACTTAGACATGAAAGCCAGCTGAGTACCTTTGGGCCAATCACCAGGAGACTGTGAGATCTACTTCCACTTAGAGATGAAGGCCAGCTGAGTAACTTTGGGCCTATCACCAGGAGACGGTGAGTTCTAGTTCCACTTAGACATGAAAGCCAGCTGAGTAACTTTGGGCCAATCACCAGGAGACAGTGAGTTCTAGTTCCACTTAGAAATGAAGGCCAGCTGAGTACCTTTGGGCCAATCACCAGGAGACTGTGAGATCTAGTTCCACTTAGAGATGAAGGCCAGCTGAGTAACTTTGGGCCTATCACCAGGAGAGGGTGAGTTCTAGTTCCATTTATACATGAAAGCCAGCTGAGTACCTTTGGGCCAATCACCAGGAGACGGTGAGTTCTAGTTCCACTTAGAAATGAAGGCCAGCTGAGTAACTTTGGGCCTATCACCAGGAGAGGGTGAGTTCTAGTTCCATTTATACATGAAAGCCAGCTGAGTACCTTTGGGCCAATCACCAGGAGACAGTGAGTTCTAGTTCCACTTAGAGATGAAGGCCAACTGAGTAACCTTGGGCCTATCACCAGGAGACGGTGAGTTCTAGTTCCACTTAGACATGAAAGCCAGCTGAGTACCTTTGGGCCAATCACCAGGAGACAGTGAGTTCTAGTTCCACTTAGACATGAAAGCCAGCTGAGTACCTTTGGGCCAATCACCAGGAGACTGTGAGATCTACTTCCACTTAGAGATGAAGGCCAGCTGAGTAACTTTGGGCCTATCACCAGGAGACGGTGAGTTCTAGTTCCACTTAGACATGAAAGCCAGCTGAGTAACTTTGGGCCAATCACCAGGAGACAGTGAGTTCTAGTTCCACTTAGAGATGAAGGCCAGCTGAGTACCTTTGGGCCAATCACTAGGAGACAGTGAGTTCTAGTTCCATTTACACATGAAAGCCAGCTGAGTACCTTTGGGCCAAACACCAGGAGGGGGTGAGTTCTAGTTCCACTTAGACATGAAGGCCAGCTGAGTACCTTTGGGCCAATCACCAGGAGACAGTGAGTTCTAGTTCCACTTAGACATGAAAGCCAGCTGAGTATCTTTGGGCCAATCACCAGGAGATGGTGAGTTCTAGTTCCACTTAGAGATGAAGGCCAGCTGAGTAACTTTGGGCCAATCACCAGGAGACGGTGAGTTCTAGTTCCACTTAGACATGAAAGCCACCTGAGTACCTTTGGGCCAATCACCAGGAGATGGTGAGTTCTAGTTCCACTTGGACATGAAAGCCAGCTGAGTACTTTGGGCCTATCACCAGGAGAGGGTGAGTTCTAGTTCCACTTAGAGATGAAGGCCAGCTGAGTAACTTTGGGCCAATCACCAGGAGACGGTGAGTTCTAGTTCCACTTAGACATGAAAGCCACCTGAGTACCTTTGGGCCAATCACCAGGAGACAGTGAGTTCTAGTTCCACTTAGACATGAAAGCCAGCTGAGTACCTTTGGGCCAATCACCAGGAGACGGTGAGTTCTAGTTCCACTTAGACATGAAAGCCAGCTGAGTACCTTTGGGCCAATCACCAGGAGACGGTGAGTTCTAGTTCCACTTAGACATGAAAGCCAGCTGAGTAACTTTGGGCCAATCACCAGGAGACAGTGAGTTCTAGTTCCACTTAGAGATGAAGGCCAGCTGAGTACCTTTGGGCCAATCACCAGGAGACAGTGAGTTCTAGTTCCATTTACACATGAAAGCCAGCTGAGTACCTTTGGGCCAATCACCAGGAGGGGGTGAGTTCTAGTTCCACTTAGACATGAAAGCCAGCTGAGTAACTTTGGGCCAATCACCAGGAGACGGTGAGTTCTAGTTCCACTTAGACATGAAAGCCAGCTGATACCTTTGGGCCAATCACCAGGAGACAGTGAGTTCTAGTTCCACTTAGACATGAAAGCCAGCTGAGTACCTTTGGGCCAATCACCAGGAGATGGTGAGTTCTAGCTCCACTTAGAGATGAAGGCCAGCTGAGTAACTTTGGGCCAATCACCAGGAGACGGTGAGTTCTAGTTCCACTTACACATGAAAGCCAGCTGAGTAATGGTCGCAGTGTCCTGGGATCACAGGCAACTTTTTGACAAGCAAAGTCCACGGGGAAACCAGATTCACTTAACAACGTGCTCCTAACTGTATTGCAGTGATTCACTTAGCAACTGTGACCAGAAAGGTCGTAAAATGGGGTAAAATTAAAACTGTCTCACTTAGCAATGGAGATTTTGGGCTTAGCTGTGGTTGTAAGTTGCAGGCTACCGGTACATTACACACTGCATATCTTCAGACGATGCTTGACCTTCATTGGCCTGGGTCTGCTGAAAGGAGGAGGTGTCCCAATAACCCCCCCCCCCATTTATGGGCCCAGGAAAGGAGGGTCGGAGACCCCCGGAAGTTCTTCCTCGCCCGTCCCAGGTCGTCCTGACGTCTTGTGTTGCTGACCCACAGAGCTGGACCTGTTCTCTCTGCCCTACGGTCTGTCTGAGAACCAATATCTTGATCACCCAGAGGAACCTTCTCTGGAACTGGATTCCTTGGCACCCTTTGAGCCGTCGGCCCTGTCAGAAACCCACCACTACCAACAAGAGCCCAGCCAAGCAGAATTGCCACCCCTGGGATCCGCGAGGTCTGGTGTGGCCAGCCTGGAAGACCGGATCCAGAGGCTGGAGGAGCAGGTGGAGGGACTGGGAACCATGCTGGATATGGTGAAGGAGCAGGTGAGGACTGTACCAGAAATGTTGAGTCGATTCCTTTTGAGGGTTGTCTTGGAGACAGAGCGGGCTGACGTGAAAACCAGAAGGCAGATGGGCAATCCATCCCCCTAGACCAGGGTTAGGCAACCTTGGCTCTTTTATGACTTGTGGACCTCAACTCCCAGAATTCCTGAGCCAGCCATGCTGAGGGGAAAGGGAGAGGTTTCCAAGCTGCGCCATGTCGGCTCAGGAATTCTGGGAGTTGAAGTCCACCAGTCATAAAAGAGCCAAGGTTGCCTACCCCTGCTCTAGACCCAACAAGGCAGAAGAGGACTTATTTTGGCCAAGAAAAGCTTCTTCAAAAGGGGCCCTGGATTCCGTGCAATTTAGGTTTCCCGCCTTGATGCTTAGTTCAGGAGGGAACGGCCCGATGGTGTGCTGACACACAATTCTTTTTTTTTTTTTTTTTTTTTAAAGTTATATTAGTTTTTTCATTTTACAAACCAGTGCTTAAGAATCACTGTGGTGGCAGGGCAATCAATTGTCCAAATACAAAAATCATACTCGTAAAGATCATATTAAATCATTTTTTAAAAAAATGCACCCCTCTCTATTCCCTCTAGTAGTATATTATATTCAAGTTAATATATTTCAGTACAACTAAGTCAATCAAAACATTCATCAATAAGATTTCATCTAAATAAATCCAAATCCTCTATTAAGCTTTACTATTTCAATTGCTACATTCCATACTGGTAACATAAATACATAATTAACACTTCAACTGTCTCTCCATATCTTTTTTTTCCCCATTAGCACAATCAATATTCGTTTATTAATAACATTCCTTGTTTTTTTTTTTTAATCAGTAACATTTCATCTAAATAAGTCCAAATCCTGTATAAAGCTTTACTATGTCAGTTACTATCTTCCATATTGTTACTCTAAATCAGTGGTTCTCAACCTGTGGGTCGGGACCCCATTTGGGGTCGAACGACCATTTCACGGGGGTCGCCAAACAACGCAGTCCGCCATTTTTTCTCCCTTTTCCTTAGCTGTGCTACTCCCTTTTATTCTATTGGCTTTTGAAAGCCAATAGAATAGACTCTCTTGAATAGAGTCCAATTCTATTGGCTTTCAAAAGCCAATAGGAATTGTCCAGGCTGTCTCTGCCCTGCTGAGCCCGCCAAAAGTCCCATTCTGCAAACGGTGCTGCACCAGTTGACTAGTCCTCGACTTACGACCGGTTGAGTAGTCCTCGACTTACGACCAGTTGGGGATCACGGCATTAAAAAGGTTGAGAACCACTGCTCTAAATACATAATTAACACTTCGGGCGTGCTGACACACAATTCTGATTCTGCCACCCTTTCCCGACAGAATTCCGACCTGCGGAGCCGGCTGAAGTTCCTTGAAGGATGCGAGTGCCGGCGGGTGACCTGCTCTGCAGATGGGCAGCACTACGAGGAGGGGGCTTCCTGGGACCGAGACCCCTGCACCTCCTGCGTGTGTGCGCAGGGCAAGGTCGAGTGCCAGCTGCAGCCTGACCGGATGCACTGCCAGGGTGAGGAAGTGCCTGGGGTTTGAGACTCACCATGCCAGTCTTGGTGCCTTTTGGGGAATCGGCCAGGAATGTGCTGGGCATGGGATGGTGGCCCTTTTTCCATTTTAGCTCTTGCAAAGAAGAATAGAATAGAATAGAATAGAATAGAATAGAATAGAATAGAATAGAATAGAATAGAATAGAATAGAATAGAATAGAATAGAATAGAATGGAATGGAACGGAACAGAGAATGGAATGGAATGGAATAGAATAGAAAATATGGAATGGAATGGAATGGAATAGAATAGAATAGAATAGAATAGAATAGAATAGAATAGAATAGAATAGAATAGAATAATGGAATGAAGTAGAATAGAATAGAATAGAATAGAATGGAATGGAATGGAATAGAATAGAATAGAATAGAATAGAATAGAATAGAATAGAATAGAATAGAATAGAATAGAATAATGGAATGAAGTAGTAGAATAGAATAGAATAGAATAGAATGGAATGGAATGGAATGGAATGGAATGGAATGGAATAGAATAGAATGGAATGGAATGGAATGGAATGGAATGGAATGGAATGGAATAGAATAGAATAGAATAGAATAGAATAGAATAGAATAGAATAGAATAGAATAATGGAATGAAGTAGTAGAATAGAATAGAATAGAATGGAATGGAATGGAATGGAATGGAATGGAATAGAATAGAATAGAATAGAATAGAATAGAATAGAATAGAATAGAATAGAATAATGGAATGAAGTAGTAGAATAGAATAGAATAGAATAGAATAGAATGGAATGGAATGGAATGGAATGGAATGGAATGGAATAGAATAGAATAGAATAGAATAATGTAATGAAGTAGTAGAATAGAATAGAATAGAATAGAATAGAATAGAATAGAATAGAATAGAATAGAATAGAATGGAATGGAATGGAATGGAATGGAATAGAATAGAATAGAATAGAATAGAATAGAATAGAATAATGGAATGAAGTAGTAGAATAGAATAGAATAGAATAGAATAGAATAAAATAGTATAGAATGGAATGGAATGGAATGGAATAGAATAGAATAGAATAGAATATAGAATGGAATGGAATAGAAAATAGAATGGAATGGAATAGAATAGAATAGAATAGAGTAGAGTAGAGTAGAGTAGAGTAGAGTAGAGTAGAGTAGAGTAGAGTAATGATTTATTGAGTCCATTCATTCATTCATTATCATGTCAATCACTGGTTCTCATTGATTCATTGGGTCAGTTGATTGATCAGTTCATTTCACTGGTCAATCACTGATTATTTATTCATTCATTTTCAATCATTTATTCATTTATCACGGCAATTATTGATTCAAAGAATCAATGAGTCAATTGCCAAGGGTCCAAATGTTGATCATGTGACCATGGGGATGCTGCAACGGTCGTAAGTGTGAGCAGTGGTCATAAATCACTTTTTACAGTGCTGCCGTAACTTCGTACAATCACTAAATGAACTGTTGTAAGTCAATCAATCAATCAGAATAGAGCTTGAAGGGACCTTGGAGGTCATCTAGTCCAACCCCCTGCTCAGGCAGGAAACCCTAGACCATCTCAGACAAATGGCTGTCCAGTCTCTTCTTAAAAACTTCCAGTGTTGGAGCACCCACAACTTCTGGAGGCGGGTTGTTCCGCTGGTTAATTGTTCTCACTGTCAGGAAATTCCTCCTTAGTTCCAGCTTGCTTCTCTCCTTGGTTAGTTTCCATCCGTTGCTTCTTGTCCTGCCTTCTGGTGCTTTGGAGAATTCTCCTCCATTGCTGCCGCTAGAAGCTTCTTCTGGGGGAGAATCTGCTTTTGGGGTGGTCCCTGGATGTGTCTGTGGGGTGGGGTGGTTCTTCTCTTCTGCAACTGGACGTTGTGGGTTTCCATAGAGGCCCGTAGATAAGATCCAGGCTGGTATATTGCTACATTACAAAGGAACCCCCACTAGCTCAGGAATGAATTGAGGAGGGGTCTTCAGTGCTCTCCCAACGGGGCTGTTTTCTTGTGGAGGGCTGTCTGCCCTGAATCCATGTTTCCACCTCTGCGTGGGCTTCTCACATCCAGTATTCCCTCTGTCCTCCATGATGCAGGTTGTGTGAACGGAACCGCGAGACACGAACACGGGGAAGAGTGGACGCCCCCCACGGACCCCTGCCTGAGGTGCAAATGTCAGGTGAGCCCGGCATGCCCAGCTGTCCACCCGTGACTTTCAGGCCGTGAAGTCCCTGGAATTCCTAGCGTCACGCTTGACCCACTGCCGAGTCGGGCTGACCAGCCAGCGCTAAAAGCCGGTCGGGCATCAGGGCGAGAGACGCCAGGAAATATGAAAGACGCTAAACCACGCCATAAAAACCACAGGCGCAGAGGGGGAAAATCAGGGAAAGTCCACAGATGAGGGTCAAAAAAAGAAATCTAAGACGGTGGCGTACAAATCGTCCTCGTTTAGCGACTGCCTTGTTTAGCAGCCATTCGCAGTTACGACCGGGGTGAGAAAAAAAAATCACCTTGCAATCACTCCTATCTCGTTTGCCGCTTTCTCGGGTCTGCACAGCCAAGGAAGGCTGACGTCAGACCAGGGGGGGTCCGCTTAGTGACGTTTTCACTTAACGACCAAGTTACAGGTCCCAATTACGGTCACTAAATGTAAAACAGGCGGAGTTTCCGTCGCCCCACTGCAGGGTCCGTCCTGACTTTTTGGGACTGTCCTCTTGAGTCACGCTGGAGTCAAGGACAGCCTCGCCTTCCGGGGAATTTTGTACGGCTGTTTTTTTTTTCTGTACGGCCGATTGTGCCCGCAAGGAAGCGCCATTGGCCTCTTTAAATCTGGGGCAGGGGGGAAGCCGAACTTCTAGCAGGAATCCCCCTCCCAAAAACCCTTTTACACCTCTCAAAGGACCCCCTTCTTCCTCCTCCCCTCTCTGCTGCAGGAGGGCAATGCCATCTGCCAACGGAGGCAGTGTGCCAGTCTGTGCCGCCACCCTGCCCGCCCTCGCCCCGGCACCTGCTGCCCCGTCTGTGACGGTGAGTCTTGGTGTGAGGGGGGGGCGCTCTGGACTGAAAGGGGAGGCACAAGGTGTCCCAGACAAACCACAATGATGTTGCTGGGCAGAAAAGGTGGGCTTGGCGTCCCAGACAAACCATCATCGGGCAGAAAGGGGTCTAAGCATCCTAGACAAACCATGATGGTGTCACTGAGCAGAAAGGAGAGCTAAGCTTCCCAGATAAACGATAATGACATCATTGGGCAGAAAGGGGGTCTGGGCATCCCAGACAAACCACGATGACTTCATTGGGCAAGCATCACAGATAAACCAAAAGTCAAGATGGTGTCATATTTATGCAATGGAAGCCTTAAATCTTTTTTTTTACAAGTGTGGTGTAGGTCACCACGATGTAAAAAAGATGCTGAGACTCTAGAAAGAGTACAGAGAAGAGCAACAAAGATGATTAGGGGATTGGGAAGCTAAAGCATACAAGGAACGGTTGCTGGAATTGGGTATGTCTAGTTTAACGAAGAGAAGGACAAGGGGTGATAGGATAGCAGTCTTCCAGTATCTCAGGGGCTGCCCCAAAGAAGAGGGAGTCAAGCTGTTCTCCAAAGCCCCTGAAGGCAGGACAAGAAGCAACGGATGGAAACTAATCAAGGAGGGAAGCAACCTGGAATTAAGGAGAAACTTCTTGACAGTGAGGACAATTAACCAGTGGAACAACCTGCCTCCAAAAGTGGTGAATGCTCCAACACTGGAAGTTTTAAAGAAGAAAATGGACAGCCATTTGTCAGAAATCGTATAGGGTTTCCTGCCTGAGCAGGGGGTTGGACTAGACGACCTCGAAGCTCCCTTCCAACATTATTATTATTATAAATTTAGGGTGCCCTTTGAAAGGATTCAGGACTTTGAACCACTGCCATCTTGACTCCCTCAACCATGTGCCTCATCCTTGGGGGGGAGGGTTGATTAAGTTACAGGATAACAGAATGAGTCTGAAGGGACCTTGGAGGTCTTCTAGTCCAACAGCTTCTGGAGGCAAGCAGTTCCACTGGTTAATTGTCCTCCCTGTCAGGAAATGCCTCCTTAGTTCTAGGTTGCTTCTCTCTGGATATTTGCTGGACCAGCTCCAGAATATTCTGGAGCTGGTCCAGCAAATTCCCTTATCGTCTCTTCTCATCTCCACCACCGAGAGGGAAAGCAGAGCACTACAAACCCCATCGTCCCCTAGCAGCGGGAGGCCTCCCTCCCAGTGGGGCCAAATTGGCCAACTGAGCTCTGCTGCCCCCTGCTGGTGGTTTCCAAAGGAGCCGGGCCAACCTTCCAGGGCAGACATTTGCAGTCCGTGTGTCGCCCCCTGCAGGTTGCCTTTGGGAAGGACGCGAGTACCGCAGTGGTGATGCCGTGCAGTCCCAAGACCGCTGCAAACACTGCCGGTGTGGGGTGAGTCTGCTGGCTGGGGGGGGGGGGCTGGGTCTGTCCTGGGGGGCACAGACACCTCCAGTGATCTGCTTGCCCCCACAGGCTGGCGAGGTCTCCTGCAGGCAGGTGAGCTGCCCACCTGCCCTCTGCAGCCATCCAGGCAAGCACCCAGAGCAGTGTTGCCCCACCTGCGACGGTAAGTTGCTCCCTCTCTCATTGTCCCCCCCCCATGCCAGGTTTCCCATCCCCCCCCCGGGATCTCCACTTAGTGACCGGCTTCCCTGCAGAGCGAGAGTGGCTGAGCCACACGACGGGCAACAGTTTTTTCCGCGGGAAGTTTAAACTTTTCCCCAAATGTATTCGGCCTGAATATCTCAACGTCGGCTGTGGAAAATAAAGCCACCACGTCAGGAATAGTCTATCTTAGCCAGCGTTCTGAAGGGAAAAGCAAAACTCGATCTGATTTTATCTTACTCAGAAGACGTTGCGAGAATGTAAAAACTACAGAGAAATAGAAGGGGCCGTGCGGACATTAATGGGCACACTGTACCTTATCAGACCGAAAGAGCTTCTCCACTAGTCCTCCAGTTACGACCACAATGGAGCCCAAGATTTTTGTTGCTAAGCAAGACAGTCGTTCGTCAAGTTTTCACCCCATTTTACAACCTTCCCGGCCACGGCTGTTACGTAAATCGCTGCGATTTTTAAGTCGGTCCCATGGTTGTTAAGTTGCTTGTCCGAAGGTCGCAAAAGTGGGTCACATGATCCCGGGGAACTGCAACCGTCATAAATAGGAGCTGATTAGTAACACGGTTGTTAAGTGAATCTGGCTTTCCCCCCCTTGACTTTGCTTGTCAGGAGGTCACAAAAGGGGATTGCGTGATTCCAGGACGCTGCGACCGTCATAAATACGAGTCAGTTGCCAAGCGCCTGAACTTTGATCACATGACCCTGGGGCAGGAGTAGGCAACCTTGGCTCTTTTATGACTGGTGGACTTCAACTCCCAGATTCCTGAGCCAGCCATGCTGAGGGGAAAGGGAGAGGTTGCCAAGCTGAGCCAGGCTGGCTCAGGAATTCTGGGAGTTGAAGTCCACAAGTCATGAGGGGGCCATAATTCCCTCATGCTGGCTCAGGAATTCTGGGAGTTGAAGTCCACAAGTCATGAGGGGGCCATCGTTCCCTCATGCTGGCTCAGGAATTCTGGGAGTTGAAGTCCATGAGTCATGAGGGGGCCATAGTTCCCCCATGCTGGCTGAGGAATTCTGGGAGTTGAAGTCCACGAGTCATAAAAGAGCCAAGGTTGCCTATCCCTGCCCTGGGGGATGCTGCAACGGTCGTAAGTGTGAAAAATGGTCATAAGTCCCTTTTTTCAGTGCCGTTGAAACTTTGGTCATTAAATGAACTACTTCAAGTCGAGGGCCACACGTATCGGAGAGCTAAATCATCCTTCAGTTAGTGACCGTTCAAAGTGACGACAAAACTCCTTGGGCTACTTATCACCTGGATTCAACGTGCCAATAGGCAGATTCCCCACCTCCACCCCACCGTCAACGTGATCGCATTTTATAACTTTCCATGTATACCCATGTACATTGGAACCCATGTCCATCAGCTACTTTCCTCTTTTCCCATGGTTACAATACTCCAAATATACGTAGAACGGCTTACTTTGCAATTTCATCTTGCACAAAGCTCAGCAGATTGCAAATAATATGTCCGTATTGTGAAACAATATAAAGATCAAGTTAAAGCTGTAGATCACTATTGTGATTTACATCTTGTTATATGAGGAGGGGGCTATATTTTCATCTCCCACAGGAGGCTCAGCAACCACCCCCGATTTACATTCTTATGGCCACAATTTATGGCAGGTTTCTCTCTCACACACACACACACACACACACACACACACACACACACACACACACACACCGAAACTGACATTCAGTTCTGGTTTTGGGCCAAAACTCCCCCTAGCAAAAAAACAAAACAAAAACCGGTCCATTTAACACACTATCACAAATAAAGGTCTTAAAATTGGATCAGCCACATGATGACTTGCTTTACGACCATCACAACTGACGGGTGCGATGGGCAGACTCGACTGAAGTCATTACCTGAGGACTATTTCTATGTAGGTTTCTTTCCGGGGGACACCTCTCACCTGTCTGCCCGTCGCAGGTGTAGAAATGGCCCCGGGGGAGAGGTAGGAGGTGTCCTAAAATTACTCCAGAGTTAAGCCAAGGAGAAAAAAAAAGTTTGACACTCAACTTCTACGTTTCTCTTTTCCCTTCTGGAATCTTCTCTGCAAGTCTGTGAATTTGAAGGACGGTTGTACCAGGACAGAGAGACGTTCTCGCCTGCCGAGGGAGGCCCCTGCCTGCAGTGCCAGTGCTCGGTGAGTAGCCTGTGATGGGAGAACTGGTCAACTGGGCAGGGGGCCGAATCGTGAGACCGGGGGCCAGAATAACACGAGAGAATAATAAGGGACCTCGTGGTCTTCTAGTCCAACCCCCTGCTCAGGCAGGAGACCCTATAGACCATTTCAGACAAATGGTTAGCCAATTTCTCCAGAGATGGATCATCCACAACTTCTGGTGGCAAGCTGTTCCACTGGTTATAATTGTCCTCAATGCCACGAAATTCCTCCTTAGTTTCCCGGTTGCTTCTCTCCTTGATTAGTTTCCATCCGTTGCTTCTTGTCCGGCCTTTCAGGGGGGGGGGCTTTGGAGAATAAGTTGACCCCTCCCCTTCTTTATTTACTACTCAGGAAGTATGGATTTCGACTCCCAGAATCCCCCAGCCAGGTGGTGAAGAATTGCAAGAATCTTTAATATAATGTTTGGCACGTTTAAGAGGGGTGGACTTCCACTCCCAGAATCCCCCAGCCAGCTCGTGAATAATTGCAAGACTCTTGGCTGGCTGGGGAATTCTGGGAGTGGAAGTCCACCCCTCTTAAACTTCCTGAATTCACGTCTCTTTCTTTTCTTCGCTCAGGATGGGCATGTCCGGTGCCAGGAGGAATCCTGCCCCCCAACGCCATGTTCCCATCCCCTCCAGGACCCCAAACGCTGCTGCCCGGTGTGCACAGGTGACTGTTGGAGAGGATCTGGGAATAGGGAACGGGCTCCTTGATCACTTTGCTATTCATTTCCTCACCTGGGCTCCACTGGCTCAGATTGGGCTGTGATGTCCTACAGCATGCAACCTGGCTCACTTGTCTGAGCCATCTCCAGGGCTTGTTGCAGAACACCTGGAATGGGCTAGTGAACCCCAAAGGCCTCCTTAATTCCTTTCGTATTCTAAGTAGGCCTTGACTGTTCGAAGTTACAATGGCACTGAAAAACATGACTTACGACCGTTTTTCACATTTACGACCTTTGCCACATTCCCACGGTCACGTGATAAAAATTCAGATGCTTGGCAACCGGCTCACATTTATGATGGTCGCAGTGTCCCCCGGGGGTCACGTGATCCCCTTTTGCGATCTTCCAATAAGCAAAGTCAGTGGGGGAAGCCGGATTCACTTAACGACCATGTTACTCGCTTAACAAAAGCAGCGATTCGCTTAATGACTCTGGCGAGAAAGGTCATAAAAGGGGGCAAAGTTTACTTAATGAACGTCTCGCTTAGTGATGGAAACTTTGGGTTCAGTTATGGTCCTACGTCGAGGATCACCTGTGCTTTTGATTCTAGGTTAAGATTAATTCGATAGTGACCTCGAAGCGGTTTTCATTTGGGCTTAGCGTCTGTCAGGTAGCCACCATTCTGCATCATAAACCGGGATTCGTGGCTTATGCAACTGGCTGAGGTTGATTGAGGAAACTGTAGCCTGGCATTTCGTACGAGGCTGTTGCTATTCAACACGGTAAAATGTTGTAGGGAAAACAGGAGGAGTAACACATGTTGGTTGTGTTCTCCGCCTTGACTTATTTGTAAAAATAATACAGATAGTCCGCGACTTAACAATCATTCATTTAGTGACTGTTCCAAGTCCCATTTTTTCAGCGCCGTTGCAAACTTGAACAGTTGCTAAACCAACGTTGGTTGTAAGTCGAGGATGACCCGTATGGCATCTCGTGTGAATACAGTCCCCGGTGTCCATTCCCAAACGTTAAAACACGGGGAGCAAGGTGGTGGGAAGGGAATCCAGGTCTGTGCTTTACAGCTTGGCCAGGATGAAACCCAGTTTGACTCAACCGCTCCCTCGCCTGGCGACCGCCAGTGTGTGTTTTCGAGGGCCTGGAATTTGAAGATGGCACCGAGTGGGCGCCAGCAGGCGATCCGTGCAGAGCCTGCACCTGCCACCAGGGGGAGACGGTGTGCCGTGCTCTCCAGTGCCCCCCTGTCGCCTGTCAGCATCCAGCCCGGCTTCTCGGTGAGTGCTTTGGTGTCCCCCTCCCCCCAAAACCACAGGGCCCTCCCCACTGAGATCCATGGCCCTGAACCCGGTTGCAGGAAGAGGTAAATAAAAAGGGGGGGTTGGCAGGGTTAAGGTGCTGGTCAATAATCAGCTTCTGGCTCTGTCATGGTCAGAAAAAAAATCAAGCTAACATTAAAGAAAACAAAGATGGGTCTAGATGGGTCTAGGCCAGGGGTAGGCCACCTTGGCTCTTTTATGACTCGTGGACTTCAACTCCCAGAATTCCTGAGCCAGCATGGCTGGCTGAGGAATTCTGGGAGTTGAAGTCCACAAGTCCTAAAAGGGCCAAGTTTGAAGACCCCTGTTCTAAGAGATCGTTCATTTTTTTTAAAAAAAAAAAGAAATCTTGCACTAAATAATATTTAGACATTCTTGCATTTCGGTTTCTAAGGAACCCTCTGCTCCTCTTCTCTCCCCTGATTTGGTGCCCCCCCTGCTTTATTTATTTGCTTTATTTATTACATTTAAATGCTGCCCGTCTCGCTGTCGAAGCGACAAGTACGCTGCAGTGCTGTGTCTCGCCGTCTGGGTGGGAACGAGTGCTCGGCTGTTGGAAATTTAGACGTGGGCCGAGGGTCTCCCTTGCACCAGGGGTCTTAGCACCCCTTCTCTGCTCCTCTTCTCTCCCCTGATTCGGTGTCCCCCCCCCGCTTTATTTATTTGCTTTATTTATTACATTTAAATGCTGCCCGTCTCGCTGTCGAAGCGACAAGTACGCTGCAGTGCTGTGTCTCGCCGTCTGGGTGGGAACGAGTGCTCGGCTGTTGGAAATTTAAATGTGGGCCAAGGGTCTCCCTTGCACCAGGGGTCTTAGCACCCCTTCTCTGCTCCTCTTCTCTCCCCTGATTTAGTGCCCCCCCACTTTATTTATTTGCTTTTTTTATTACATTTATATGTTGCTCGTCTCACTGTCAAAGCAACAGGTACGCTGCAGTGCTGTGTCTCACCGTCTGGGTGGGAACGAGTGCTCGGCTGTTGGAAATTTAGACGTGGGCCGAGGGTCTCCCTTGTACCAGGGGTCTTAGACCCTCCCCTCTGCCTCCTTCAAGGTTCCTGCTGCCCCCAATGCCACCAGTGTCTCTACAACCAGCGCCTCTACAGCCACGGCCAAGAATTTGCCGATCTGGACAATCCCTGCCAGAATTGCCAGTGCAAGGTGAGACCCCTCAGCTCCGACCCAGGAAAGATACCCCCAAATATTCCTGCCCTCCTTCAGTTGTCTGGCAGCCCAAATCCTTAAACTGACACCCCAAACTCAAGCATCCTTTTGTTGGTTCCTTTGGGGGGTCTCTAAGTCCTCTGCAATTGGTTCTCATGGGCATCCATGGAAGGGGAAGCATCTCGATGTTGTCGCTTAGCTGAGACGATGCAATTTGTGCGGGGCTGATCTGAATGCACTGTCTGTGTCGCTGGCATGATGACATGCATGATGCCATTAGGGTCTCCACCAAGGGACCTGCCTGCGCTGTCTTTCTGGCCCTGTTGCTCACAGCCTTGCTACATTCAGACAAAGCAACATCCAGGCTAGTGGAAGAGCAAGGGACACATTTGCACTATTATCTGGGCGGATATGAACCATGCAAAATGTTACAGAGGCTTAATTCGTTTCTATTTGGGCTGTGAATTGTCATAAGAACAGGGGTAATTTTTTCATTCCAAAAAGGACTATCATAATTTAACAATGGAATAGAATAGAATAGAATAGAATAGAATAGAATAGAATAGAATAGAATAGAATAGAATAGAATAGAATAGAAATTAGAATAGAATAGAATAGAATAGAATAGAATAGAATAGAATAGAATAGAAATTAGAATAGAATAGAATAGAATAGAATAGAATAGAAATTAGAATAGAATAGAATAGAATAGAATAGAAGAGAAGAGAAGAGAAGAGAAGAGAAGAGAAGAGAAGAGAAGAGAAGAGAAGAGAATTCTTTACTGGCCAAGTGTGATCAGACACAGAGGGAATTTGTCTCCAGTGAAGAAGCTTGCAGTCTACATACAATCAACAAAGTAATAACAATCATAATAATGATACCAATAAAAGAAGGTAGTAGAAAAGATGAGAAGGATAATAGTAAATAAAAGCATATTTATCTCCATTGGAGCTTCTCCAAGGGCTCTGGATTAGATGGATGAGGAGCAGAATCAGAGGGTCCTTCAGCTCTAAACCCCCGTCTGTCTCCTCTCTTGCAGGGGGGCACCGTCCACTGCTCACCCACCGTCTGCCCACCCGTGACCTGCCCCCACCCAGAGCGGAGGCCTGGATCCTGCTGTCCTACCTGCCCAAGTGAGTAACAGGAGGGAATCGATGGGGCACCTTCCACCTCTTGCTTCATTTCTCTGGAATTCCAGATGTGGAGGAAGGAAGGAAGGAAGGAAGGAAGGAAGGAAGGAAGGGAGGGAGGGAGGGAGGGAGGGAGGGAAGGAAGGAAGGAAGGAAGGAAGGAAGGAAGGAAGGAAGTATACAAGTGCTATTGCTAAGTGGAAGGAAGGAGGGAAGGGAGGGAAGGGAGGGAGGGAGGAAGAGGAGAAGGATGAAAAGGAAGGAAGGAAGGAAGGGAAGAGGAGGGAGGGAAGGAAGGAAGGAAGGAAGGAAGGAAGGAAGGAAGGAGAGAAGAGAAGGAGGGAGGGAGGATGAGGAGAAGGAGGAAAAGGAAGGAAGGAAGGAAGGAAAGAGGGAAGGGAAGGGAAAGAGGGAGGGAGGAAGAAGAGAAGGAGGAAAAGGAAGGAAGGAAGGAAGGAAGGAAGGAAGGAGAGGGAAGAGAAGGGAAGGAGAGAGGGAGGAAGAGGAGGAGGAGGAACGGGAAGAAAGGAAAGTTTGCTTTTAATCATCTGTAACTTTAATCTCTTTTTATGTGGATCATGGTTTTTACAGGTCTACTCCTTACTATATCGTAAACGCCCTGAGCCATCTCGGGACTGTAATAAATCCATGCATAAAAATGATGGGAGGGGGAGTCCAACAGCGCTGTGTATGTGAGTCTCAGCACCAACTTCCCCTCCTTCCTCCCCGCCCATTTAGGCTGCCTTCACGAGAACCAGGTGGTACCAGACGGGGAGGAAGCCCCCAACCCGCTGGATCTGTGCCAGGCCTGCGTCTGCTCCGGGGGGGAGCTGGTCTGCACCCCACGGAAGTGCCTGGCTCCCCTCTGCGCCCACCCCTTGCCGGGCTCCTGCTGCCAAAACAACTGCAATGGTAAGGTGGCTGGCAGAGTCTCCCAGGGTTGGCCCAGAAAGCTGGTTCTGCCTGACGTGCAATGCCCGATGAACCCCACGCCACAAGTGGAGATTTAATTCATCGGAGTAGAGCTGGAAGGGGCCGTGGAGGTCTTCTAGTCCAACCCCCTGCTCAAGCAGGAGAGCCTATACCAGTGGTTCTCAACCTGTGGGTCGGGACCCCATTTGGGGTCGAACGACCATTTCACGGGGGTCTCCAAACAACGCAGTCCGCCATTTTTTCCCCCTTTTCCTTAGCTGTGTTACTCCCTTTTATTCTATTGGCTTTTGAAAGCCAATAGAAGAGACTCTCTTGAATAGAGTCTCATTCTATTGGCTTTCCAAAGCCAACAGGAATTGTCCAGGCTGTCTCTGCCCTGCTGAGCCCGCCAAAAGCCCCATTCTGCAAACGGTGCTGCACCAGTCGAGCAGTCCTCGACTTATGACCGGTTGGGGGGGGTCGTGGCATTAAAAAGGTTGAGAACCACTGGCCTATACCATTTGCATCCTTTTTTCTTCCCTTTCCCTGCAAAAAACAATGCTGCCGATTTGTCTGAAACGGTACAGGGTCTCCTGCTTGAGCAGGGGGTTGGGCTAGAAGACCTCCCGAGGTCCCTTCCGACTCTGTGATTCTGATTTTTTATTTTTATTTTTATTTTCAATCCAGGCTGCAGCTACACCGGAAAGGAGTACCCCAACGGAGCAGAATTCCCCCACCCCACCGACCGCTGCCGGCAATGTCATTGCATCGTGAGTGCCCAGCAGTGGCAAGGGAAGTTGGCAGCCCCCGCCTAGAGAAGACAATAGCTTGGGTCGCTCCTGGGGCAGGGGGGGTGGGCTACATGACCTCAAGGGTGCCTGTCGAATCAAGGAGAGATGCCAGCACGCTTCCCTTCTTTCCCTCCCTGCCTCCCTTTTGCAGAACGGCCACGTGCAGTGCCTCTCCCACCGCTGCCCACCCCTGCTCTGCCCCGAGCCCACCGTGAGACCCCAGGAGTGCTGCCCCCAATGTCCAGGTAGGGCCCCCCCTTCTTTTAGCCCCTCACCCCACAACGGCCTGGGCCACCCAATGCCGAGCGGGCCTCCTACGGGGGGGGCAAGGAGGAAGGGGATCATGCCACCCTTCTGACAGCCCCCCCTCCCCTTCTGCAGCCCCTCCAGCTGGCTGTCTGTACCTGGGGGTCTCCTACCAACACCTGGAGCGGTTCTACGACCCGTCGGAGAAATGCCGCAACTGCGTTTGCGCCAACGGCACCATCACCTGCCAGCGCCAGCCCTGCGCGCCGGTCCTGTGCTCCCACCCGCTGCAGCAGGGGTGTTGCCGCTCTTGCGATGGTAACAGAGTTGGAAGGGACCTTGGAGGTCATCTAGTCCAACCCCTTGCTCAGCCAGGAAACCCTTGACCATTCCAGACAAAGGGCTGTCCAGTCTCTTCTTAAAAACCTCTAGTACTAATCAATCAATCAATCAGAATAGAGCTGGAAGGGATCTTGGAGGTCATCTAGTCCAACCCCCTGCTCAGCCAGGAAACCCTTTGCCATTCCAGACAAAGGGCTGTCCAGTCTCTTCTTAAAAACCTCCAGGGTTCACAACATCCCTGGAATCCCAGTCCTGGGGGGCGGGGGGGCTCGCTCATTCAACTTAAAAGAAGGGTCCCCAAGCGGGTTGCACCCCACATCTGACCATGTGAGCTGTGGTGGCACAGTGGTTAGAGTGCAGCATTGCATGCTAATTCTGCCGACTGGCGGCTGTCAGCCGTTTGGCAGTTCGATCCTGACCGGCTGAAAGGTCGACTCAGCCTTCCGTCCTTTCGAGGTCAGTAAAATGAGGACCGACATCGTTGGGAGCAAATAGGTTGACTCTGTAAACTGCTTAGAGAGGGCTGTAAAAGCACTGTGGAGCGGTATACAAGTGCTATTGCTAAGTCGGAAGGAAGGAAGGAAGGAAGGAAGGAAGGAAGGAAGGAAGGAAGGAAGGAAGGAAGGAAGGAAGGAAGGAAGGAAGGAAAAGAACTGTGGGGTCCTTGGTGCTCTCTGAGCTGGGTGGTTTCCTGGCAGACGTTTCATGACCCAACTAGGGAACATCATCAGTGCTAGGTGGAAAGGAGAAGGAGAAGAAGGAAGGAAGGAGGGAGGGAGGGAGGGAGGGGAGGGTGGGAGGGAAGGAAGGAAGGAAGGAAGGAAGGAAGGAAGGAAGGAAGGAATGAGAACTGTGGGGTTCTTGGTGCTCTCTGAGCTGGGTGGTTTTCTTGCAGACGTTTCATGACCCAACTAGGGAACATCATCAGTGCTAGGTGGAAAGGAGAAGGAGAAGAAGGAAGGAGGGAGGGAGGGAGGGGGGGAGGGAAGGAAGGAAGGAAGGAAGGAAGGAAGGAAGGAAGGAAGGAAGGAATGAGAACTGTGGGGTCCTTGGTGCTCTCTGAGCTGGGTGGTTTTCTTGCAGATGTTTCATGACCAAACTAGGGAACAGCATCAGTGCTAGAAGAGAGTGGGAAGGGGAAGGAAGGAAGGGAGGAAGGAAGGAAGGAAGGAAGGGAGGGAGGGAGACCCCTGGTGATGCAGTAGTTAGAATGCTATATTGCAGGCTCACTGCCCACTGCCAGGTGTTCAATCCTGACCGTCAAGGACTATTTACTTCTATGCTACGTCTGCCGGGAGAGGGGGGTTCATTCCCATCCCCGGGGCCGGGGGGGGGGGTGTCCTGCCCACCAGTTCTTCGGCTTCACTGGCCCTTCTCTGCCCCTTCCAGGCTGCCTCTACCAGGGCAAGGAGCTGCCCAACGGGGAGCAGTTTGCGGACCCCCAAGACCCCTGCCGCCTCTGCTCCTGCTGGGAAGGGAGCGTCAGCTGCAAACTCAAGGCCTGCCCTCCGGCCGAGTGCCCCTTCCCGGTGCCTGGGCCTTGCTGCAAGAGCTGTGAAGGTACACAGGAGGGTGGGGGTCCTGGGGGTGGGTGGGGGAGTGGGCCTGCCTCCAGGGAAGGCATCTTGTTTGGGGAGAAGGAAAAATCCAGAAGCAGGGAAAGGATCTGGCTGGAACCACCCAGGGCCACGTTATCCAAACCTCCTGACTTGGGAGGGGTGGGGGTCTTTTGGTTGAACCTCTAAAAGCAATTTGGTTGGGTGATTAAGGCACCGGGCCCAAAGGGGGAGACCAGGGGACAGTGAGTTCTAGTTCTCCCTTAGGCGTGGAAGCCTTTGGCTGACTTTGGGCCAATCACCAGGAGACGGTGAGTTCTAGTCCTGCCTTAGACATGAAAACCAGCTGGGTGACTTTGGTTCAATCACCAGGAGATGGGGAGTTCTAGTCCCGCCTTAGTCATGAAAGCTGGTTGGATGTCTCTGGGCCATTCACCAGGAGACAGTGAATTCTAGTTCTCCCTTAGGTGTGGAAGCCAGCTGGGTGATTTTGGGCCAATCACCAGGAGACGGTGAGTTCTAGTCCCGCCTTAGGCATGAAAACCGGCTGGGTGACTTTGGTCCAATCACCAGGAGACGGGGAGTTCTAGTCCCGCTTTAGTCATGAAAGCTGGTTGGATGTCTTTGGGCCATTCACCAGGAGGCAGTGAATTCTAGTTCTCCCTTAGGCGTGGAAGCCATTGGGTGACTTTGGGCCAATCACTGGGAGACGGGGAGTTCTAGTTTCACCTCAGGCATGAAAGCCGGTTGGCTGACTTTGGCCCATTCACCAGGAGACGGGAGGTGATGAAGGAGTGGCTGCCCGTCAGAAGGGCCCCTTTAGTCCCGGAATGGGTGCAACCGGTGCACAACTTGTAGTTGTGCAAACACTTCTTGAGCAAGACTGCCCCCTGTGCCTCTAGAAGAAGGGGACCCATAACACGTCCTGCCTTCCTGTCTTGACGGAGCGGGTGGACGTCATAGGGCAGAGTCAGTCCTTCCGACAGATCTCATCCTCATCAGCGCAGAGGAGATCTGGTGGGACCCTTCCTCTCCGCTGATCCTGATGCCGCAACTGCCGAGGAAGACCCACCGGGTGAGCTCCAGAGCGTCTACTGCAGGGGTAGGCCACCCCGGCTCTTTTATGACTGGTGCACTTCAACTCCCAGAATTCCTGAGCCAGCCATGCTGAGGGGAAAGGGAGAGGTTTCCATGCTGAGCCATGTTGGCTCAGGAATTCTGGGAGTTGAAGTCCACCAGTCATGAGGGGGGCATAGTTCCCTCATGCTGGCTCAGGAATTCTGGGAGTTGAAGTCACGAGTCATAAAGCAGCCTAGGCCTAGGCCAGAGGTAGGCAACTTTGGCTCTTTTATGACTCGTGGACTTCAACTCCCAGAATTCCTGAGCCAGCACAGCTCAGCTTGGAAGCCTCTCCCTTTCCCCTCAGCATGGCTGGCTCAGGAATTCTGGGAGTTGAAGTCTACATGTCATAAAGCTGCCTAGGCCTAGACCAGGGGTAGGCAACCTTGGCTCTTTTATGAACTGTGAACTTCAACTCCCAGAATTCCTGAGCCAGTCGTGCTGAGGGGAAAGAGAGAGGTTTCAAGCTGAGCCATGCTGGCTCAGGAATTCTGGGAGTTGAAGTCCATGAGTCATGAGGGGGCCCTAGTTCCCTCATGCTGGCTCAGGAATTCTGGGAGTTGAAGTCCACGAGTCATGAGGGGGGCATAGTTCCCCCATGCTGGCTCAGGAATTCTGGGAGTTGAAGTCCACGAGTCATGAGGGGGCCATAGTTCCCCCATGCTGGCTCAGGAATTCTGGGAGTTGAAGTCCACGAGTCATGAGGGGGCCATAGTTCCCCCATGCTGGCTCAGGAATTCTGGGAGTTGAAGCCCACCAGTCATAAAAGAGCCAAGGTTGCCTACTCCTGGTCTACTGGAACCTTCTCTTTTCTCCCTTTCCCAAGGGTGCGAGTACGTCTCCCAACGCTACCTGAGCGGGCAGAAGTTCCCAGACCCCCAAGACCCCTGTAGTCTGTGCTCCTGCCTGGACGGCTTCGTCTCCTGCACAAAGAAGCCCTGTTTCCAGGCACCCTGCAGCCACCCTCTGCGGACATCCGGCCAGTGCTGTCCGACCTGCCAGGGTGAGGTCCGAGGGGTGGGAGAGGGCAGGAGAACGTGGGAAGTGCGGTTGTCCACAAGGAAATGAGGTGGACAACGATCTCACTGACCTTTTGGGGGGAGGCTATCCTCACCCCCCACCCTCAACCAGCTCAGGTAGTCCTCGGCTTACGACCACCATAGACGCCAACATTTCCGTCTCTAAGCAAGACAGTGGTTAAGTGAGCGTTACCCCATTTTACGACCTTTCTTGCCACGGTCGTTAAGCGAGTCACTGCCGTTTTTAAGGGAGTAACATGGTTGTTAAGTGAATTGCTGCAGTTGCTGAGTATCACGGTCGTTAAATGAATCCAGCTTCTCCCATTGTCTTTGCTGATCAGATGGTCGTAAAAGGGGAATCACGTGATGCTGCGGGATGCTGCGACCATCCTAAATATGAGTCAGTGGCCCAGTGATCCCGTGAACCTGGGGAGGCTGCGACGGTCGTTAAGTGTGAACAAGTCCCTTTTTTCCAGTGCCGTTGTAACTTGGAACGGTCACTAAACGAACCATTGTAATTTGAGGACTGTCTGTACTTAACCCTCTGGTGCAATCTCGGCCCACAAATTGTCACGTTAAAAAAAAGGGACGGACTCGGCAGGCAAAGTGAAATACAAATTCCGTCACCGATTTTCTTAAAAGGGCATAAACAGGCTCCCTCCGTGAGGGAGATGGGCGACTTCTAAATTTGATAAATGGAATAAAATGAAAAATAGTTAACACCGGCCCTCAGCTGCAGCTCGCTTCTCCAGAGGCAAATTTTATTCAAAGAGGCCACAGTTTTGTGAGCCACGGTTTGTGTCATCGGACACACACACACACACTAAAGCCACTCTGTGCATTTGATGAAGCGACCTGTGGAGGGTCACAAAAGTTGGCATCTTTGTTGGTCAGAAAAGAGGCTACACAGAGTCCAGAATTCCAGCAAGAAAACCGGTAACGTCCCCTTCACTCCTCACTCTCAAGGGAGGCTCTACTCAAACATCTCCTACCCGGGCAGTGCTTGGTCTAGTCCCCTGGCCTAAAGGATCCTTTTCTTCCCAAGACGTGCCAGGGGCGATGCCCCCCTGGGTGCCCAGCCCCCTGGCAGCAGCCACAGCTGAGCCCAGGGCTCCCGTGAGGCTCCACTAACTGCTCTGCCTCCCGCCAGATAGACTGCGCCTTTCATGGGGTCACCGTTGCCAGTGGCCACTCCGTCCCTGATCCAGCGGACCCTCTCTGCTCTGAGTGCACCTGCCAGGTGAGTGTGGCCGTGGCCAGGAGCAGGTGGGGAAGAGATGGAAGGGAGGGAGGGAGGGAGGGAGGGAGAGAAAGAAAGAAAGAGAGAGAAAGAAAGAAAGAAAGAAAGAAAGAAAGAAAGAAAGAAAGAAAGAAAGAAAGAAAGAGGAAGGAAGGAAGGAAGGAGAGAAGGGAGAGAGACAGAGAGAGAAAGAAAGAATGAAACAGAAAAAAAGGAAGGAAGGAGAGAAGGAAGAGAAAAAGGAAAGAAAGAAAGAAAGAAAGAAAGAAAGAAAGAAAGAAAGGGAAGGAAGGAAGGAAGGAAGGAGAGGCAGAAAAAGAAAACAAAATGAAGGAAAGAAAAAGAAAGAAAAAGAAAGAAAGAAAGAAAGAAGGAAGGAGAGGAAGAAAGAAGAAAGCGGAAATAAAAAGAAAGGAAAGAAAGAAAGAAAGAAAATGAAACAGAAGAAAGGAAGGAAGGAGTGGGAGAAAAAAGAAAACAAAAGGAAGGAAAGAAATAGAGAAAGAAAAAGAAGAAAGAAACGAAGGAAGGAAGGAAAGAGGAAGAAAAAAGAAAGCGGAAAGAAAAAGAAAGAAGGAAAGAAGGAAGGAAAGAAAGAAAGAAAGAAAGAAAGAAAGAAAGAAAGAAAGAAAGAAAGAAAGAAAGAAAGAAAGAAAGAAAGAAAGATCAAAGCCTGCCTTCATTTCTACATCATGTAAATCTGTCTTTCTCCAAACGTGGCAACTGTTTAAGACAGGTGGACTTCAATTCCTATGCTGGGGAATGCTGGGAGTTGAAGTCCACCCGTCTTAAGAGTTGCCACATTTGGAAAAAAAACAACACGGGTGCAAGCAAGGCCTTCCACCACACAAACTCCGCAACTGGAGTTTTCAACGGCCAGGCCACAGGGGCCTCTGGGGGGGAACAGAAACTCGCTGGGTAAACATTTTCCTTGGAAGCGTCTGGCCCTTTCCCTGCTGGCGGCTTCCCGCATCTGCCAATCACCGTCCAGCCAAAAGAACTGCTGGGAAGGAAGCATGAAACAGTCAACACGCTGCCCAGGGGTGCACTAAAACAGCTTCAGTTGCCCTTGCGCAAACAGCTGGAATCTGGGGTTTACACACACATGTGGCCAGACCGTCTGGAAGCCTCTGGCTTTGGCAGAACTGGGAACGCTTCCTTTTTCACCAGTCCTCGAATTACGACTGTAATTCTGCTGGAAAGGAAGAAATGAAGGAAGGAAGGAAGGAAGGAAGGAAGGAAAGAAAGAAGGAAGGAAGGAAGGAAGGAAGGAAGGAAGGAAGAAAGAAAGAAAGAAAGAAAGAAAGAAAGAAAGAAAGAAAGGAAAGAAAGAAAAAAGAAAGAAAGGAAAGAAAGAAAGAAAGAAAGAAAGAAAGAAAGAAAGAAAGAAAGAAAGAAAGAAAGAAAGAAAGAAAGAAAGAAAAAATGAAACAGAAGGAAGAGTCAGCCTTGCCTTTAAGCTGGTCCCCATGTAATTGCACCCCATTTGACATGCTGTTTTTAGAGCATTCCGTGAGTGGCACAGTCATAATATCAAGTCATTAAACAAATTCTGTAGTCTATGTTTAGGGAGAAATCTCCTGTCCTCCAGGCCATGGTTGTCCCAAAGGTGCTTTTTCAGGAGGCAACAGGACTTTCTGGTTTTTCCTCTGAAGACGTTTCGCTTCTCATCCAAGAGGCTTCTTCAGCTCTGACTGGATGGTGGGGAATAAAGGATTTATACTCCTTGCAGAGAGCTGGTCATTTGCCCTCTTTTAGAGAGTCGTTGAGGCCACTTGGAGGTTTGTTTGTGTCCTCAGGGTCAGCTGAGTGGTGCAAATGGGCGTCCCAACCCTTTCAGCAGTTCCAAGAAGGCTCCACACCCATTTGCACCACTCAGGTGACCCTGAGGACACAGACAAACCTCCAGGTGGCCTCAACGACCCTCTAAAAGAATGCAAACGACCAGCTCTCTACAAGGAGTATAAATCTTCCCATTCCCCACCATCCAGTCAGAACACGAAGAAGCTTTTTGGATGAGAAGCAAAATATCTTCAAAGAAAAACAAGGAAGTCCAGTTGCCTCCTAAAAAGGCATCTTTGGGAAAATTCTGTGGTCACTAAGCAAACGCCACAGCAGTTAACCGAACACCGTGGCCAACAAAGCATTCTCTTTCTTTCTCTCTCTCTTCTCCCCTCCCTTCCTCTTCCTCTTCCTCTTCCTGCAGGCGGGCTCAGTCCGTTGCATGAAGAAGCCCTGCACGCCTGCCAACTGTGCCCATCCGGTGCCTGGCCCATGTGCCTGCCCCCTGTGCCAGGGTGAGTGATTTCAAGAGATGCTGCTCTTTATCTGCAGGGCTATCCATTAGTTCATTCGTTCATTCATTCATTCACTCACTCACTCACTCACTCACTCATTTGTTCATTGCTTTAAAAATCACAACCCAAAAAGAAAACAACAAAAGGAACAAAGCACCATCCTGACCGCTTTAAGAACGGGCGGACTTCAACTCCCAGAATTCTCCACCCTCCCAGCTTCTTAAAGGGCCAGACAGGATTTCTTTGCTCCAACTCTGAGTGGCCCCTTTTCCCCTTTCCAGGCTGCAGGTTCCAGGGTCAGGACTACGGAGATGGAGAGAGCGTCGCTTCCCAACACCAGCCATGCGAGGAGTGCCAATGCCTGGTTAGTAGTGGGGGCAGGGAGCTGAGTTATTGCAATTGGAGAGGGGGGTGCAAGCCACAGTTCCTATGACCAAGATCTGAAGTTGTCCTCTTTTGCCCGCAGCGTGGCACAGTGAAGTGCTCTCCCACCCCGTGCCCGCCCGCGCCGTGCCAGGAGCCCATCACGCCCCCTGGGCAGTGCTGCCCCCAATGCACGGGCGCCTGCCGCTACCAGGGGCAGCTCTACAAGAGTGGGGAGGTCTTCACTTCGCCCCAGGATGCATGCCACAAGTGTATTTGTCGGGTGAGTGAGCGTACCGGCCGAGGGTATTGCTTGCACACCCTGCTCTGGCCTACCTGGCAGGGGGCATAAGGTGCAGGAGCCCAGCCTGAAAAGGCGGCATCACCCACTGGCAGGGCAAGCCAGTAGAATATAAAATGAGAGTGAACGCCCCCTTCCAGCACTGATGATGTTACCTAGATGGGTCATGAAACGTCTGCAGGAAAACCACCCAGCTCAGACAGCACCCAGGACCCCCACAGTCCTCCTCCTCCTCCTCCTCCTCTCTGCAAGTCCCCTCCTTCTAGCACTGATGATGTTACCTAGTTGGGTCATGAAATGTCTGCAGGAAAACCACCCAGCTCAGAGAGCACCAAGGATCCTACAGTCCTCCTCCTCCTCCCCCTCCTCCTCCTCTTCCTCCTCCTCCCCCACAACCCCCTCCCTTTCAAGCACCAATGATGTTCCCTAATCAGGTCATGAAATGTCTGCAAGAAAACGACCCCAGCTCAGAGAGTGACCCAAAGTGATCCAGGGTTCCTTTGTCCCTCCCCACCACAGCCATTCACCCTGGTGGGACACTGACCTGCCACTCTTTCTGACTCCGGGGTGCCAACCGGGCAGCACTTCAGGCTGAGGTCGGATCTTACCGCCCCAAGAGGGATCCCTCACTTGGGGGAGGCAGCCCGCCTGCCTTGGCCCTGCCCCTCGCCAGCTCTTCACCCTCTCCCTCCCCAGGCAGGAACGGTGACATGCCAGCCCAAGCCTTGCCCGCATCAGTGTGCCCACCCCGTGCCCCTCGCCCGGACTGCCTGCTGCCCCTTGTGCGATGGCTGCCTTTACGAGGGTCAGGAATACGCCAACCGAGCGGTCTTCGCCCCGCCCTCCGATTCCTGCCAGCGCTGCAGCTGCCTGGGGGGCAACGTGATCTGCACCCCTGTGGCATGCCCACCGGCCCTGTGTGCCAAACCCAGCCGAAAGCCTGGCGAATGCTGTCCGCAGTGCCAAGGTAAGGACGGCTGGGTGTGGCAGGGATGCTAACCGCACATCAAACAGATTTTAGTACTGACGTGCCGGTTAGCAATTGGCTACAAAGCAGGCTGGGTGGCAAAGTGATTGGGTATCCCCCAAATCTGGGAACTTCACCCCAACTTTGCTCTCGTCCCTAGTGTGCCAGCACGGAGGCCGGGAGTACCTTGAAGGCACCCAGTGGCTCTCGGCTTTGGACCCTTGCCAGGAGTGCTCCTGTGGGGTAAGACCCTCATGCCGTCGTCCTGTGGACCCCACCTCACCCAAGGGAGGTCAAAAAAGTCAAGAGAGTGACCACATCCGTGCCACTGTGCAGGGGACCCAAAAAAGTCAAGATAATCGTCACCGTCGCAGTTCTATTGCAGTATGTCTCAAACAGGGCCGCTTTAAGAGGGGTGGATTTCAACTCCCAGAATTCCACAGCTAATATGGATCCCTGAATTCTGGGAATTGAAGTCCACAAGTCTTAAAAGTTGCCAAGTTTGGAGAGCCCTGATTTAGAGCAATATCTTTCAAGCAGGGGCACTTTAAGAGGGTTGACTTCGACTCCCAGAATTCCCCAGCCAGTCATGGAATTCTGGGAGTTGAAGTCCCCCCATCTTAAAGCCTGCTGGCTGGGGAATTCTGGGAGCTGAAGTCCACCCATCTTAAAAGTGTCCCTGCTTGAGAAAAACAGCTCGATCTGTAAGGGGTCAATCATTTTTGACTGACACTCCACACACACACTGTGACCGAAGCTAAAAAGGGGGTGGGCAGCTGACAGTCTAGAGGGGAGGGGCGATGCTGCCAACCCCTCGACTGTCGATTAAAGGAGCAATTGGGGTTAACCCTGGAGAGCAGATTTGAATGAAGACCCTGGGTGGGTTGGGGGTGTAGCACCCTCTTGTCCATCTTTGTGTGCTCCCCCTGTGCAGGGGAGGGGCTGTGTGCTGGACTGGGAGGGGTGCGATCTTAGCTTGATCAAGTCTTGGGACCCGGGCTGTCCTTTAGGTGCTGTCGAAAACATGAGGAGAGTGATTTTGAACCATCCTGGCTGCCATTTTGACTTTTTTGACCACCCGGGGCAAACCCCTCTACTTGGGATTCTTCCCACGCCCTTGTGATGGCAGGAGGCCACTTATCCTTCTCTCTCTCTCTCTCTCTCTCTCTCTTTGCCAGCCTGGGGGCGAAGCCTCTTGCCAGCCGGTACCCTGCGAGGCGACGCTCTGCTCGCACCCAGCTCCGGGCCCCTGCTGCCCCCTGTGCCATGACTGCCTCTTCGAAGGGGAACGCTATGCCCACGGGCAGGCTTTCCAGCCGGAGTCATGCCTGCGGTGCTTCTGCCAGGTGAGTGCCCACCTCCATCCCGTGGCACAGTTTCCCTGCAGGGGAAGGATGGGCTGCCCAGGGTTAACCTCTGCATCGCAGGCAGAAATCTCAACCTTCAGGCTGGGGAGCCATTCAGGAGGACTGTCAGACCTGCCTCAATTCAGGCCTCTAGGAAAGAGAGATCATCAACTCCACATTGGGTTGAAGTGCGAGCTCGGCTTTTTCACCAAAGTTAAACGGTTGCAGGAAAAGTAGTAAAGCGAGATCTGAGTGCAGGTAATCCTTTCCTTACAACAGTTCATTTAGTGACTGTTCAGCCCCTCCAAATGAATGGAGACTGTGGGTAGTCCTCAACTTACAACAGTTCATTTAGTGACCATTCAAAGTTGCAACGGCAGGGAAGAAAGGGACTTATGACCGCTTTTCACACTTGCGACTGTTGCAGCATTCCCCCGTGGTCGCTTGATCGAAATTCAGATGCTTGGAAACTGACTCATATTTATGACGGTCACGGCGTCCAGGGAATCACGTGATCAGCTTTTGTGACCTTCTGACAAGGAAGGTCAAGTGAAGGAGGGGATGGAACAGACCCCAAGATCAGTGGGGCAGAGGATGGTCCTGACCTTCTCTCCCTCTTGCAGGATGGCAATGTCCACTGTGAGGTCATCGTCTGCCCTCCTGCCACGTGTGCCCACCCAGTGACGGAGCCTGGAATTTGTTGCCCACATTGCAAAGGTGACACCACATCGTCCCTGGAACATGGCCTCAAAAAGGGGCCCTCAACTGTTTCTTTTCTCATGACTAGCCATTTAGTCTCCCCAAGACTTTGTTTCTAGTCCTCATTATTGTTTGAGACAAAAAGATCACTGGCCTGACCATTGCTGTAGTGAGCAGAAAGCTGCCCCCAACTGGTTACCATGTGGTAAGATGGGAAAGGAAGAAAGAAAGAAAGAAAGAAAGAAAGAAAGAAAGAAAGAAAGAAAGAAAGAAAGAAAGAAAGAAAGAAAGAAAGAAAGAAGTGAAATAGAAAGAGAAAGAAAGGGAGAAAAAGAAAGAGAAAGGAAGAAAGAAAGAAAGAAAGAGAAAGAAAGAAAGAAAGAAAGAAGATATAAAGAAGAGACAAAAATAGAGAGAAAGAAAGAAATGAAGGAAGAAAAAAAGAAAGGAGATAAAGAAATAGAAAGAAAAAAGAGAAATAGAGAAAGGGAAAGAAAGAAAGAAGAGACAAAGAGAAAGAAAAAAGAAAGAAAAGAAAGAAAGAGAAAAAAGAAGGAGTAAAGTGAAATAGAGAGAAATAGAAAGGGAGAGAAAGAAAGAAAGAAAGAAAGAAAGGAAGGAAGGAAGAAAGGAAGAAAGAAAGAAAAGAGAAAGGTAGAAAGAAGAGACAAAAATAGAAAGAAATGAAGGAAGGAAGAAAGGAGATAAATAGAAAGAAAAATGAAAGAAAGAAATTGAGAAATTGAGAAAGGTAAAGAAAGAGAAAGAGAGAGATAAAGAAAGATAGAAGAGAGACAAAAAAATAGAAAAAGAAAGAAAGAAAGAAAGAAAGAAAGAAAGAAAGAAAGAAAGAGCTGGCCCAAGCAACAGAGCCCCCCCTGTCTTGCCCAGAAGAGAAGGGGCTTTTCCGCCCCCCAGCGGGCCTGACCCCTCTCTGCCCCCCCCTTCTGCAGGATGCATGCAGGAGGGCCAGGACCGGCCCAATGGCAGCAGCTGGTTTTCTCCCTCGGAGCCCTGCCAGGCCTGCCTCTGTGCGGATGGCGTCGTCACTTGCACCCGGATCATCTGCATGAACACCTGCCCCGCGCAGGTGGAGATGCCCGGGGAGTGCTGCCCGGTGTGTGCAGGTGAGGAAGGGGGCCAGCGGGATCCCTGGGGGGGAAGGGGGGTGGGCTATGGTGGGGTCTTTCTCCGGCTTTAGTGGTGGAACCCCCGATCTCACTGATGCTTGAGCAGGGGGTTGGACTAGAAGGCCTCCCAGGTCCCTTCCCACTCTGATGTTCTGTTATTGTGTTATTCAGTGTCCTGAGATAACCCAGGAGGAAAACACAGTAAACAGTGGTCTATATTAAATGGTGGTTCATATTACACTATCTACAACAGGGGTCTTCAAACGTGGCCCTTTGATGACTTGTGGCCTTCAACGCCCAGAATTCCTCAGCCAGGCACGTGTGCCCGGCTGAGGAATTCTGGGCGTTGAAGGCCACAAGTCATCAAAGGACCAAGTTTGAAGACCCCTGATCTACAATATCATACACCAGGAACAATCTACACACACGTGCTAATACAGCAGGATCCAATCAACCACAGTTACAGCAGGAAACGGAAGAGAAAGGCAACACGGCAGCAGAGCCTTCCTTTTATACAGGGCTCTTAAAAGGACACAGACCCTGCTGCGTCATTCCCATCGTTACATTATACAAGCTGGTTAGCTTCTAAACCATGGCCTTGACAAAGTTTCTCTTATCTGTTATCTGCGTTGAGTCTCTTCCTCTGTTCTTCCTTCTTCTCCTTCTTCGCCTTCCTTTTCCCAGATTGCAGCTACGGGGGCCGTAAATACGGGCCAGGGGAGAGCTTCCAGCCTGGGGAAGACCCCTGTGAAGTCTGCACCTGTCAGGTAGGAGACCCCCTCCTTGAGGAATTGATCCCCATCCTCCATAGCTGTCCATCCCGTATCGGCACACACACACACGCCCAGTCACACATGACACGCCTACACCTACACACACACACTTACACCCACACACACTCACAAATGGCACGCCTACGCCCACACAAGCACACCCATGCCCACACAAACACACACACATGCTCACACCTGCGCACCCACAAATTCACTCGCTGTCTCTGCTCTCCTTCCCAGCTTATGTCGGACGGCCATCCGCATCTGCAGTGCCACCGCAGACGGTGCCCCAGCCTCCTGGATTGCACCCAGGACCAGATTCAGGCACCGACACCTGGCAACTGCTGCCCCACCTGTGCACGTGAGTCTCCCCCCCCCCCGAGCAGGAGTGGGGCTGGGGGCTCACGGGAGACCACCCCTCCATCAAAAGGGGGGATAGGCGCAAAAGTCTGGAGAGCAGCCCCTTCTGAACAGGCCCTGCTTAGGGGTCTTGGACTCCAGTTCCCAGCAGCCTCGCCCGGCCTGGTTATGGATGATGGGTAGTGTAGTCCGGCACATCCTCTGAAAGGCAGCGGGCAGAGGGGGGGGTTCTCTGCGGGAGGCGAAGCTGGCAGGGCCACCTAGGTCCCTTTTAGGCCTCCCCCACCGTCCCCCCAGCCTAGGCAGTTACAGGGTGACCAGGGCAGCCCCTGGACTTAAAAGGGTCACGGTGGAGATGGGGGGGGGTCCTTTTGAAAAAGGAAGTCTTCCTAAAAGCTTCTTTCTCCCTCCCTTCTTCATCCCTTCCTTTCCCTTTCCCCCTATCCTCTTCCCATTCCTTCTTTTCTCCCTTCTCCTTCTTTTCTCTTTCCTTCCTTCCCCTCCCTTCTTCTCCTTTCCTCTCTTCTCCTTTTTTCTATCCTTCCTTCCCTTCTCTTTCCCCATCCCTCCTTCCTTCTTTCCTCCTTCCCTCCCTTTCTCCCTTTTTCCTTCCCTTCCTTTCCTCTCCCTTCTCCTTTTCCCCTTCCCTTCTTTTCCCTTCCCCTCTTCTCTCCCTCTCCCCTTCTCCTCTCCTCCCCTCCTTTATTTTTATTTCTCCTTCCTCCCTTCCTTCTTCCCTTCTTTTTCTTTTTTCTTTTTCTTTCTTCCTTCATCTTTCTTTCACTTTCTTTTTCTCTTTCTTTCTTTTTCTTTCTTTCTCCCCCCCTCCCTCCCTTTCTTTTTCTTTCTTTTCTTTCTTCCTTCATCTTTCTTTCACTTTGTTTTTCTTTCTTTCCCTCCCTCCCTTCCCCTTCCCTCTCCCCCTCCTCCCTTTCCCTTTTCCCGCTGCCTCTCCTTTCAAAGAAGCCCTCAGCAACTGCACCTCCGCTCTGCTGGGCAACCAGGTCCAAGCCACGGAGGACCCCTGCTACACCTGTACCTGCCAGGTGAGGTTCCAGCCTGGACTGACACCGGAGCAACTGGGATTCCAGATCCCGCCTTCGGCTTGTAAAACTGAGCGCAGCACAGACTTTACCTCCATACTTTGTGCACGAGGCCCGATTTAGCTCACCTGGGCCTCAGCCTGGCAGAGGAGGACGGCAGCCCATGTTTCCGCTTCCCACACCTGTTTCCCTGCAGGATCTGACCTGGGTCTGTGTGCTCCGAGGATGCCCGTCGCTCAGCTGCCCCACCGCCGAACGCTTCACCCCCCCGGGGTCCTGCTGCCCAGTCTGTGACGGTGACCCGTCTTTGCCCTTTATGCCCCCTCCCTGCCCTCTGGAAGTATTGCCTAGTGGTTAAGGTACCAGGCTAGGAAGCGGGAGATCACGAGTTCTAGTCCCACCTTAGGCAGGAAAGCCAGCCGGGTGACTTTGGCCCAACCCCTCCCTTTCAGTGCAGCAGACCCCACAGGACTGTTGTTGTAGGGAAAATAAGAAGGGGAAGGCAGGTTGGATACGTTCACGGCCGTGAGTTAGTTATAAGCAGGATAAAGGTGGGAGAAGGAAAGAATGAAAAGATAGAAGAAGGAAGGAAGGAAAAGAGATGGAGAAAAAAGAAAGAGAAAGGGAGAAAGGAAGGAGAGGGATGGAGAAAAAAGAAAAAAGGGAGGGAGGGAAAGAAAAGAAAAAAAGAAAGAAAAAGAAAGAAAGAAAGAAAGAAAGAAAGAAAGAAAGAAAGAAAGAAAGAAAGGGAGGGAAAGAAAGAAAAGTGAATGAAAGAAAGAAAGGAGGGAAAGAAGGGATGGAGGGAAAGAAAAAGAGAGCGAAGAAAAGAGAAAAAGAAAGGAGGGAGGGAAAAGAGAGAACAAAGCGAAATAAATGGAGGGAGGGAGGGAGGGAATGAAAGAAAGAAAGAAAGAAAGAAAGAAAGAGAAAGAAAAGGAGGAAGGGAGGAAAAGAAAGTGAAAGAAAAAGAAAGAAAGATAGGAAAGGAGGGAGGGAAAAAAGAAAGAGAGGGAGGGCAGCCATTTGTCCAGAATGATAGGGTCTCCTGCTTGGAAAGGGGGTCAGACTAGAAGACCTCCAAGGTCCCTTCCAACTCTGTTCTTCTACAATTCTTTTTGCAGAATGCGTGATTGAGCCTGACGGCCGGCATGTGTCTGACGGGGAGACCTGGAAGGACAGCGTGGACAGCTGCGTGTCCTGTTCGTGCCACGTAAGAACCTGCCCCCCACTTTCCACCCAAACCCTGCATGGTCCGTTGACTTACGACTTTGATTGAGTCCAGAATTCCCATCCTGAGTCCTCCTGCTCGTCAAGTGGATGATCAGGCCAGATTTTACAACCATTTTTGCAGCGGATCCGTTAAGTGAACGGGCAATGGTTGTAAAGCAAATGCCAAAGTCGTTAAGTGAACAGCACAGTCGTTAAATGAACCCATTGTCTACAAAACATGTTTTTTGAACTGTAAACTGGGTTTCTGGCGAAAAATGCTGTAGATTGGAATCACGTGATCATGGCCTGTCAGAGCATGCAGTCTTATTGCGCTGAGATAACACAGGAGTAAACACAGTAAACAGTGGTCTACATTAAATGGTGCTTTATCTTACACTACCTACAATATCATACCCCAGGAGCAATATACATACACGTGCTAATACAGCAGGATCCAATACACAGCAGTTACAGCAGAAAATGGAAGAGAAAGCACAGTTTTGAGGCCGGTGTCTCTGAGACACACAACTTTGCGATCTAACATCGGCTCCCTTATTTGGTGTGCAGCTGGGACACGTCGAGTGCCACATCCAGGAGTGTCTGCCCTTGGTGTGCCCAGATGGCCTAGTGGAGGTGCGGGTGCCGGGCCAGTGCTGTGCCGAATGCCGAGGTAAGAAAATAAAAGACACACAGCAAGAAAAGGAGATTGCTGTTTTGTGCATCCCTGTTAGCAAATACATTTTAGTGTTCTATGATCGTTGTGTTCCAATATCTAAGACCCTGTGCTTTCTTTTGCCAAAACAATTTGCCAAAAATGCTGATTTTTTTCCAAGCTCAGCTAGTACCTCTTCACCAAGTGGAATCTCTCCCCCAGGTGAGCTGGTGGTGGGAATCCAGCTGCAGCAACTTTGGGGGCAGGAAGGAGGGGCAGTTTGCAAGAGGAGATGACCTTCTCCCCCCTCCCTTCTCCATCTCTTTCCCCAGATCCCAGCCAGAACTGCTCCCACCTGAGCCAGGTGTTCCAGTCCAACCAGCGTTGGCAGGTGGACGAATGTACCTCCTGCACCTGTGTCTCCAACCAGGTGCATTGTCGTCGTGAACGCTGCTCCCCGCCCGCCTGTGCTGCGGTGAGTTGGAGAGAGAGGACTGGGGGGAGTGTCAAGTAAAGCATGTTCCCTCCTGTCGCCACAATCCCCAGGAGGGCCAGCTTACAAGTAGTTCTCAACTTACAACCTCAACTTGCCAGCATTCGTTTAGTGACCATTCAGCGTTACAACGGCACCGAAAAAAGGGACTTAGGACCGTTTTTCACCCTTACAGCCGTCGCACCATCTCCGTGGTCACGTGATCGAAATACAGCCGCTTGGCAACTGATTCACATTTATGATGGTGGCAGGGTCCCTGGGGGGGGGTGTCACGTGATTCCCTTTTGCGAGCTTCTCACAAGCAAAGTCAGTGGGGAAAACCAGATTCATCTGACAAGCGTGTGACTAACAAAACAACTGCATTGATTCACTTAACAACTGTGGCAAGAAATGTCGTAAAATGTGGGGGTAAAACTCACTTCGCAACTGCCTCGCTCAGCAGCAGAAATTTTGGCTCAGTTGTGGTTGTAAGCCGAGGATTACCTGTACTGGTCCAAAACCATTCCTCCTTGCTGGGGAAATCAAGTTGTTACATCAAAAATTGACTTTATTGGATTATAGATCTGTTATATTAATGGGAGATTGGAATGGAGTTTTAGACACTTATAGAGACAAAAAAGGATTTTCTACTTCTTTTAAACAGGCCAAATTACCTAAGGCCTTTTTTGACTTGAAAGAGGATTGGGAGTTGCGAGATTATTGGCGAGAACATAATATGGAAGAGAGAGACTTCACCTTTTTTTCGGATAGACATCAATCTTTTTCAAGAAGTTATCTCTGGAGCAGGGAGAGGGGAAGAGATGGAACTCACATACTCCGGGCATTGTTCTTTGCTGACAGGATGAGACTCTGGCCCTGATTCCCGGCGTGTGCTGCCCCCGCTGCGTCCCACATCCCGCCACCTGTGTGGCCTTTGGTGACCCCCACTACCGGACGTTCGACGGCAAAATGATCCACTTCCAGGGGGGCTGCGTGTACGTCCTGTCCCAGGATTGCCATGGGGGGGACTTCAGGTGAGCCCCCCTCCTCTCCATGCCCAGCTCTTCAATTCCAATCTGAAATTAAGGCCGAGGTAGGAATAAGTTTGCTCTTTCTACCAGACATCACCCTTCTAGGTAGGCCAGCCCGTGAAGCCAGCATGACAGGGGTTGCAACTATATTCTTGAGTGGTCTCAGTTACAATAAGAGGGAGAAGTTCCCTAATGATGGACTGAAAGTTTGGAAGAAAAAAAACTTTGGTCCCGGTGAGTAACTCAGATTGGATGCTGCAAAAAAAAGTCAGTTTGTGGAGTACTATGCAACAAGCCAGGATGAGGGTGAAAGTTCATTCTCCGAGCTTGTGGGTTAGTTTCTGAACGTTTCGTGACCTACAACCAGCCTATGAACCTCTCAGAATCCAAATCAACCACCTAGCCAGACAGAGACAACATTGACCCTCTATCCCGCACAATCCCCCAATCACCAGCAGTTCACCTCCCAAGGACCCTGACCTGATGTAACCTTCCCATCACAAGACCCCTCTCTGATGACTCACACCTGACCCATTAGAACAGTGGTTCTCAACCTGTGGGTCAGGACCCCATTTGGGGTCGAACGACCATTTCGCGGGGGTCGCCAAATAACGCAGTCCGCCATTTTTTCCCCCCTTTTCCTTAGCTGTGCTACTCCCTTTTATTCTATTGGCTTTTGAAAGCCAATAGAATAAACTCTCTTGAATAGAGTCTAATTCTATTGGCTTTCCAAAGCCAATAGGAATTGTCCAGGCTGTCTCTGCCCTGCTGAGCCCGCCAAAAGTCCCCTTCTGCAAACGGTGCTGCACCAGTTGAGTAATCCTTGACTTACGACCGGTTGAGTAGTCCTTGACTTACAACCGGTTGAGGGTCGCAGCATTAAAAAGGTTGAGAACCACTGCATTAGAAGACCCTCACTTGACACACCCACACCCGAAGCGCTTATAAACAGAAGAACACCAACACTGACCTCCCCTAAACTCCGCTGAAGATGTTACCCAGCCTGGTGACCAAACGTTCGGAAGCCAACCCACAAGCTCAGAGAATGAACCTTCCCCCTTTCCCTACACCCGAGCTACAGAAATTCGCCCCTCTTTCAAACAAGCTGCTTGGATACCGTCTGACTTGCTAGGAGGACCAGTGGTGACCTTTCCTGGACACCAAAGTATCCAAAGTAACTCTGCAATTATTTCCCCCCCTCCCCCCGGCCACCAGCATCCATGTGACCAACGAGGATCGTGGACGCCCGGGCGTGTCCTGGACTAAGGAGGTGACCATGCTGATCGGGGACACCACGGTGCAGTTGCTACAGGATGGTGTGGTCACGGTGAGGTGGACAAAGGGCTGGTGACTGGCCTTCCTCTCTCTCCTTCCCCCCAATTCAGGGGCTCAGGGCTGTTTAGCAAGAGGGTGGCAGGCAAGATCCATCTCCTCACCCAGAGATGGTGATGCTCAGTTTCCTCTGCAGGTGGACTCCCAGACTATTAACCTCCCCTTCCTGAAGGAGCCCCATCTCTCTGTGGAGCCAAAGGGGAGCACCCTGCTACTGAACACCAACATCGGCGTCAAGGTAGCAAAGGAGGGAGATGCCCTCTGCCCCCACAAGCAAGTCTTGGGAGTGGGGGTACCCAAAGACCAGGGGTAGCAAGCTGGGGGGCTGAGTGATTTGGGAAATTCAGCAAAAGACATACAAGGATCCTACCGAAGACATTCCCAACTTGGTTGCTGGTGTCTTCTGCTTACCAACACTACGGGGGCACCCACGTTTTACTTCCCAGGCCGTCTAAAACATGAAGAATTGGATATGTCTTGTTGTTAATTGCGAAGTCGTGTCCGACTCGTCGCGACCCCATGGACAACATTCCTCCAGGCCTTCCTGTCCTCCACCATCTTCTGGAGTCCTTTGAAGTTCACACCTACTGCTTCAGTGACTCCATCCAGCCACCTCCTTCTCTGTTGTCCCCTTCTTCTATTGCCCTCCATCTTTCCCAGCATCAGGCTCTTCTCCAGTGAGTCCTTCCTTCTCATTAGGTGGCCAAAGTACTTGAGTTTCAACTTCAGGATCTGGCCTTCTAAAGAGCAGTCGGGGTTGATCTCCTCTAGGACTGACCGGTTTGACCGCCTGGCAGTCCAGGGGACTCGCAGGAGTCTTCTCCAGCACCAGAGTTCAAAGGCCTCAATTCTTTGGCGCTCAGCCTTTCTTGTGGTCCAACTTTCACAGCCATACATTGCAACTGGGAGAACCATGGCCTGGACTATATACTGGGTATGTTCTAGTTTTATGAAAAGAAGGACTAGGAGCGACAGGATACCAATCTTCCAATATTTAAGGGGCTGCCAAGAAGAAAAAGGGGGTTGTTTTTCAAAGCACTTGAAGGCAAGACAAGGAGAAACGGATGGAAACTGATCAAGGAGAGAAGCAAACCAGAAGTGAGGAGAAATGGAAGGGAGGTTGGAACAGTCCTTCTCAATTTGTGATTGATCGCTTAGCGGCCGTTTGACGTTACAAGGGATCTGTCTTGGGGCTACGTGTGACTCCGATTCAAAGTTACAATGGTCGACCCTCCAGAGTCATGTGAGTGCACTTTGGGCACTCAACATTCACGGTCATTTGCAGCATCCTGCTGTCACATGACAACGGATTTGCCAAAAGCCAGCATTTATTTCCAGTTTTCTGCAGAACTGCCCAAAGCGAACCACTGGTTCACTTAATGACACGATGGCTGTTTTACGACCACTGCATTTGTTTAACCACCACATTAAAGGTCATAAAATGACCGTATTATGACTGTCATCAATTGCAGCGCATGATAGGCAGGCTCCATTCTGACCGTAACTTAAGGACTACCTATAAGCATATTGATGTAGACTTGGAAGATTCCATAGAGGCCATCTAGTCCACCCTCCTGGGTCTGATCCACCAGAATGTCATCTTCATTTTGGAGACCTCACCCCATCGTGTGGCAGCCTGTTCCACTGACTAACAGCTCAGGAATGTCTAGCCTGAAACTCTTTTCTTATCGCTGGTAGCTTTGGTCTTGCTCTGGGAGACAACAGGGAACAAATCCATTCTTTCATGCCCCGGATATGGCACATCGTTGGTCTTTTTGCTCACCTGCAGGTGGTCTGGAACGGCCGCTCGCATCTGGAAGTCAGTGTGCCCGGAACATACAAAGGGCGCCTGTGTGGACTTTGCGGTAACTTCAACAGCTTCCCCCAGGACGATCTGCGGATGCGGTCAGGACACCTGAGCCTGTCGGAGGCAGCTTTTGGGAACAGCTGGAAGGTAAGTCAGAATGGAGGAGGAGGAGGGAGGGAGGGAGGGAGGGAGGGAGGAGGACGAGGGAGGGAGAGAAGAGGGACAGCAGAAGAAAGGTAGAAAAATAGGTGAGGGAGGGAGGGAGGAAGGAAGAGAAGGAGGGAGGGAGGGAGGAAGGAAGGAAGGAAAAAGGGAGAGAGGAAGGAGAAGGGAAGAAGGAGGGAGAGGGAGGGAGGGAGGGAGGGAGGAAGGAAGGAAGGAAGGAAGGAAAAAGGGAGAGAGGAAGGAGAAGAGAAGGAAAGGGGAGGAAGGGAGGGAAGAAGGAAGGAAGGAAAAAGGGAGAGAGGAAGGAGAAGAGAAGGAAAGGGGAGGAAGGGAAGGAAGGAAGGAAGGAAGGAAGGAAGGAAGGAAGGAAGGAAGGAAAAGAGATGGAAAGAGGAGGGACGGAGGGAAGAAAAGAGAGGGGAAGAAGGGGAGGGAATCCATCTATCCAGGCTGGCTGGGGAAATCTGAGAGTGGGAATCCACCAATGTTAAAGTTGCTAAGCTTGAGAAATGCCACTCTAGACATCTAGTCAGTCTTAAGTTAGTTCCAGCTCCAGATTAACAGTGATGCCCTGTCTTCTTCCTGACTATCCACCCGTTTCACAAACTGCACAAACTTCACAAACTGCACAATCCACCCGTTTCACAAACTGCCGTTCCTCTTGAAAGGCCCTTTATCCTCAAGATCTTATCCCCACACCAGGCAGTTGCGTCATCCCACAACCCAGCAGAGCAAGGGGGCGTTTGCAGACCACACGTTGTTCTTCTCCCAGGTAGCCACCGCCAACTCTACAGGTTCGGACCGCTGCGCCGACGCTCTGGATGCAGATCCTTGCAAAGGATCCGGGTACCGTTCCCGCAAAGAGGCCAATGCCCGTTGCAAGGTGCTGAAGTCACCCCCCTTCGAGCGATGCCACGCTGCCGTGCCCCCAGAGCCCTTCTTCGCTTCCTGCGTCTATGACCTCTGCGCCTGTGGGGCTGCGGGCTTGGACAACTGCCTCTGCGAGGTCCTGGAGGCCTATGCCAGCCAGTGCCGCCATGCTGGCATGATGGTCCAGTGGCGCTCACCTACCCTCTGCGGTGAGAACGCGGTGGGCTGGGCACGGGGTGTGACTCCTGTTTGGTCCTGGGGGAGGCAGTGTTTGGGGGTGGAATGAAAGAGGGATGGGACTCACGGCGGTCCAGTGGGACCGACAGGAGGAGAAATATCAACACAGTATTTGTAGCTCAGGGTTTAACAGTGGGTCCTTGGTGCTCTCTGAACTTGGTTGCTTTCTTGCAGACCTTTCATTACCCAAGTAGGTAACATCATCAGTGCTAGACAGGAGTGTTTGTGGAGGAGAGGGAGGAAGAAGAGGATTGTAGGGTCCCTTGGTGCTCTCTGAGCTTGGTTGTTTTCTTGCAGACATTTCATTACCCAACTAAGTAATATCATCAATGCTAGACAGGAGTGGGGTTCCTTCCTTCCTTCCTTCCTTCCTTCCTTCCCTCTCTCCTTCCCTGAGTCTGGCCCTGCCCTAGTCTTATCTCAAACTTCACGGAGTACGTGGTACACCCTGCCTCTCTCTGGAGCAGTACAGTCCTATCCCACCTGGCCTCTCCCTCCTTCCTGCTACTAATCCCCCACCTCTCTATTTCTTCACAGCGGTGGGCTGTCCCCAAGAGCGGGGCTACATCTTCGATGAGTGTGGACCCCCCTGCCCCAAGACCTGCTTCAACCACGCTATACCCCTGGGGGTGCTGGAGTCCCACTGCTTTAAGCCCTGTGTGCCAGGTTGCCAGTGCCCAGCAGGTTTCGTAGAGCACCAGGCCCACTGCATCCTCCCAGAGGCCTGTCCTCCCATCGTCCATAGCACTCTCTGAACTGGACTATCTTGCTTGATCTTCACTCCCTTTTGGGACACCCATGGACCTTGGAGAGGGACCTTCAAAGCTGTTCTGGAGGTTCCTTTCCCACTCAACCAAAACACAACACACAGGTTCACACATGCAGCTACCATTCAAGGGTAGAAGCTATCCCTGGTCATGGATTCTTGTGTCTGAAAATTCTGGACCTCGGTCCTCATGAACGAGGCGAAAACGGGGAAAGGATTTCCATGCCACATTCCAGAACAAACAATAAGTTTGAATAATGAACTGTAGTTAATGATGCAAAACCAAATAATTGGGAAAAGTTCACAATTTGTCTTGTTTGGATTGCATTATGGGCCAGAGATATACACAATTCTCCATCCATATCCCTTTTCTTCCTGGGCCTTCAGGTTCAAATCACAAGCATGCACATCTCCTTTCACCTTCCATTAACCAGATTGGTGGGAAAATACTAATCCTTTCTTGTCCAATTACAAAGCGCTCCTTGGTAGCGAATTGGGCCCTTCTCATTGCACCAACCTAATCCAGAGCTTTCTGGAAGGGCTCCTAGCCCTCTTGCTGACATTCTCCGGATTGTGCTTTCAATCAATCTGGCTTTTTGCTGGGACACTTTCTCGGACAATATCAGGGATGCCACCTAGCAGCTGTTGGCCACAAAGTCTGAAGGTTCTGATAATTGTAGTAGGGGTGGGGCTCCCCACATTAGACATCCACAGTCCCTCAGCTGGTTCCATACCTAAGGTGTGTCTAGAAATCACTGTCTCCTGGTTTCTAGGCTGTCACCTTACCAACAACAAACTGACCCCGCAGTCAGTCTCAAATAACAGAATAAGAGTTGGAAGGGACCTTGAAGGTCTTCTAGTCCAGTCCCCTGCTTAAGCAGGAGATCTTATACCATGCCGTCTCTTCTTAAAAGCCTTCAGGGATGGAGCACCCACAACTTCCCATTGATTAATTGTTCTATCAGGAAATTCCTCCTTAGTTCTAGGTTGCTTCTCTCCTTTGTTAGTTTCCATCCGTTACCTCTTTTCCTGCCCTCATTGTTTTGGAAAATAGGTTGAGCCCCTTTTTCCTTGTGGCAGCCTCTCCAGTACGGGAACACTGCTATCATGTCACCCTTTGTCCTTCTCTTTACTAGATTAGACATACCCAATTCCTACAACCATTCTTCACGGTGTAGCCCAATGGGAACAATGGAAGTCCATTGTTTGTACTAACGGTGGGTGATTCAGTCACACCACTTACCGTTTTTCTCATGGTTTTTGGTGGGGTCTGTCTTTTTTTTTTTTTTTTTTGAAAATTTTTAAGTTTTACAAAACAATTCCCTTCCCCGAACCCTCCCAACCCTCCCCTGCCCTCCCCCGACCTTCCCAGAGCTGAATACAGGCTTAATTAAAAAAAATTAAAAAAAATCTTAAGACACATATAAACCATAAGCAAATCTAAATACATTAATTAAACAAATTATAAAATAGTTGAGAACTATATATATAAAGAAAAAATACAAGGAAGGAAAAAAGAAACAGAAAAAGAAGAAATCAAATAAGAAAAATAAAAAATTTAAAAAAATGTCTATAAAATATCTTAAATTTTAAATATAAATTATTCAAAAACTAAGTAATATTTTTTTATATCCAACTTATATTGTATGAAATCTATCCATTTTTTCCATACCAAAAAATACTTCTCTTGCGATTGATCTTTCAAGAAAGGCGAAATCTTTGCCATTTCCGCCAAATAAGAACCTTTAAGAAACCACTCTTGCAAAGTAGGCAAAGATTCCTTCTTCCAACATTGCCCTACTAACAACCTAGCCGCTGTAATTAAATTTAACATCAATATAGTCTCTTTGGTGGGGTCTGTCTTGAAAGTCAGCAGAGGCTTCATCACTCAGGGCTCACCGGCAGATACGGTCAGCTGCAGCTTCAATGTGACGGTAGCGTAATTATTTTTTTCACAGTGTCTTTGTAGCGCTTATGTGGTTGACCTTCTGGTCTCTTCCCACTACCCACTGGAGGAGTATTTCTTAGCCTTGGCTGCCTGAAGATGTGCAGACCAAAATCCAGAATTTCCCAGCCAGCATTGGAAGCTCAAGTCTAAACATCTTCAAGCAACCAAGGTTGAGAAACGTCCTATAGAACAAGTGGCAAGGCACACGATGGTCGTACATCCTGACGATGCTTCCCATCCATCGATGGGGCTCGAGGCCGGTGGTCACCATGTGATCCAAGACCCCCAGGTTAGGGCCGAGGATGGGGCATAAGTGTGTGCGTGTGAAATTTCGCGTGTGATCTGTAGACAGTACAGAGTGTAGGATTCACACCCATAGAGGAGACAAGGGATAACCAAAGCTTAACATTTAGCTTTCTGGCCATCAAATGTGAACAAGCAGGCCTCAAAAGGGCACAGCAGACCCCTCTGTCCACGGTGCTAATTGCCTCCCCATGGGCACCCCATATACCCCTGCTTGGAATAAATAATCTTTAAAAGCAAGCCTATTTTCAGTGCTGGTGAGCGTAGACATTTCCGTGCAGTTGGTAACTGCAAAGGGATGGTTTCTCAAAGCTTCCCCCCACACACACACACATACACACACAAACACAATCTGGGGCACAGTCCTAGGACTCATGTCCCCCAATTAACCCCCCCTGGAAATCTGGCCATGGGAGTGGACGGGTTTAAGCACCTGTACTTAGAGAAGAGTAGAAGAGCAGGAAAGATAACGTCAAGATAACATACTAACAGCAGTCTTTATTATGGTCAAACAGTCCCAAACAGCACAGGGAGGTGCAGGCAATTAAAAACAAAATACAACAGAATCAAGCAAATAACAATTTTGGAAAGCAGAGAGTTATAAGAAGGTATGCTTATAAAACAACAAAAGACTAAAAAGTATCTAGCGGGGGCCAGAGGCATAGGTTAGTATCTGGCACACCAAATCTATCACAATCCAGAGCACTCCAGTTTGATGAACTACATCAGGAGTCTCCAAACTTGGCAACTTTAAAACTGGTGGACTTCAACTCCTAGAATGGCTGAGGAATTCTGGGAGTTGAAGTCCACAAGTCTTAAATTTACCAAGTTTGGGAAGCCCTTAACTAGATCCTCCTTAATTCTACTTTATAGCACAGGTCATCCTCGGATGGATGTTAAGCGCTGACATGTAGAGCCTGGCACAATATTGTGTGTAAGTAGCAGGGAGTTGTAGAAGAAGTGTCTGGTGTTCACCCTGGATGCTTCCTGCACTAAAGAGCAAAAGGTAAGAGAAGGAGGGAAAGGTGGTCACAAACATTATTTTCCTTGCCAACAACAACCCAGGACAACACCCACACAGCCAGGGCACCCCAATATTCCCAACTAGCTCCTGGGGAGGGTCCCGTGAGTGTAGGGCCCATCCTGCATTTCAACGAGGAGCCAAACGTTTTGTTGCCACTTCGTACAGCAGATGCTGGACCGCTCTCTCTTGTTCCGTCTCGCCTTCAGAACGGAAGGCCCTGGCTAGCTCTCTCAGACGCTGCTCCAGCTGCTTCTGCTCCAGAGGGTGGTCCCCCGGCACCTCCAAGCAGGCTCTGTACGCCCGCAGCGCTGCCTGCCTCTGCCCCTTCTTGCGGAGGAGGAAATCCCCCCAGTGCAGATAGAAAGACTGCTGGCACCTCTTGCTGGCGGTTGGCAGCTCCTCCATCAAGCCCAGGTAGACCTCCTCCTCATAAAGCGGGCGCTTCTCTCCGTACAACTTCGCCAGCTTCAGCCGGGAAAACACAGATCCAGGATCGAATTCCAGTGACCGTTTGAAGCACTCAGTGGCGTCTTCCACGATTTCCGCTCTGTTCCCGTCGAATCCTCGCTCCAAGAGGTCCAGGTAATAGATGCCAAGGTCGTAGTGCAAGAGATAGTAGTCACCTTGGAGGGCCATGGCCTTCTTCAGGGTGGAAATGGCCTGGGAGGTAGAGTGGAGCTTAATGACCTTGGCGGCCATTCTCAGGAGTTCCGGGTTGAGACTGTTCTGGACCACATCGTCGGCAAGGTGTCGCGCTCTTTCAGGATCTTTCGTACGGAGAATCTGTGCCAAGTATATTTTGGCTTCATAATTTTCGGGCTGGCTACGGATCAGCCCTTCCAGCAACTTCCGGCACTCTTCCTGTAACTTGTCATCGTAAAAGTGTGTCCAGGAAGCAAAGGTGGAGAAAGTCAGGCCCTCCTCCAGCTCCGCATTGGACTCCTGCAGCTCCAGGGCCGTCTGGAAACACTGCCTGGCAAGCTGGCCGTTCCGGAAGCCCATGGCCAAGAGGGACCAGCCCTTCTGGGCGTAGACCTCCGGGATCGGGGCCGAGTAGGGCTCAGGGCTGGACAGGTCCCGGCAGATCTGGCGGATCTGTCCCAAGTAGAGGTCTACTCTGTTGTAATCGGTCAAGTGGTAGCAAATCCAAGCGTAGTTCCCGTAGACCAGCAGGACCTGACGTGAGAAGGTCTCTTGAGGTTCCTTCCTCAAGACCTCCTTGGCTTCCTTCAGGATGTCCAGGGCCTCTTTGGGGCTCCCCTCCAGATGGCGCAGATAGGCCTTCAGGGCGAGATAGGTGCCCCGGTTATAGAAGGGGCCGTGTTCCAGGCGGAGAGACAGACTAGCAAGAGAGTGTCTGATGTCCATCTTGTCCTTGACCTCAAAATCCCAGGTGAAATGACACTGCAGGCGCTGGAGCTTCTCCTTCAGGGGTCTGCCAGGGGGTGGGGAGTGGGAGGGGAAGAAAAAATGGAGGAGCCCTGGGTGAGTGGCAAAGGACACTTGTCCTGGGAGAGAGCGGGAGATTGGCTCAGATAATGCATTGACCACAATGACGCTGTTCAGGCTAGCCTGAGCGTGTGAATCTGGCCAAGTCTGGCTACTGATGGGGAAGCAGACCCTGCTAGCGTGTGGACCCCAGATTGCCTAAAAGCTGGCTTCCAAGGAAGGGGACCCATTTTCGCCTTTTTTCTGCAGTGGGGGGGGGGTCTCTGCTCTCCACTCCTGTCCCCTTTTGGCCTTTAGGGGATCCCCATCTGTCTGTCTTTGCTGTTCTTCCCCCTTCCTCGTTCCTGGTGTGTGTGCACGTGTGTGTGTGCAATCTTTGGACCGTGTTACCTTCAAAACTGAACCATGGGCACAGAGCAGCCAAGGTGGCCGCTGAGCAGGGGCACCATCATCCACAGCATGGTCTTCCACTGGGGAGGAATAGGCCCTCCAAGGAGGGGGGCAGCAAACTGCATTAGCGCAAGCTTTGTTTCGTTTGCGCCTTTTTGTCTGCAGGTGGGGAGGGGGTGCAATTGTGGTCACTCATGTTTCGTTTGCGCCTTTTGTCTGCAGGTGAGGAGGGGGTGCAATTGTGTGAACTCAGACAACACAGTGTATGTGTATGTGTGTGCGTGGTAGAGGATTCAGTGCATTGCGCGTGGACCCGCGTGCTTTGCTTCGAGCGCGAGAGAGGAAACGGCGGAGGGACAATTTGGTGGTGTAATGGAGGACTGACTTAAAATCCGAGGCTCTCCGTTGTCTGGGGTTGTCAGCCACATTTCAAATGGCGGATGAATGGCCCTCTGGTGGGGGTCCGACTCTGGGGGGGGGGAGAGATACTTGCAGTCTCAAGCACAAAAAACATGGGAGAGGGAGAGTCTGGGGGTCTGTGGGACGGGGGAGAAGCTGACTTTGCCCGTTCCTGTCTCCCACAGTCTTTGCATCTGAGGGAGGATGGTTTATGGGCCAAGGGGGGGAGCTGATCTGGCCTGTTTCAGAGTCTTGCTGGGGGGGGGGCACCCCTGCAATACCACCACCACCACCGACAGAGGGCGCAGCTGCAAAGGGCTGCGGGGCAGTCAAGGAGATTGTTGGGAGGTTGTTAGGCAAAAGGAGAATTGTCTATCTTAGAGTCTCTCCAGCAGCAACTTCTCGCCCGGGCTCCGTAGGGGATGCAGGTTACACCCCAGGAGGCACCCCACTCACCCCCCACCCGAACCACTCTGAAAGGCAGGGGTCCCAGACTTGAGTTGCAGCAGCGGGACCCCACGGAGGGAGGGGAACAGGTAATTGAAGGAGAGGGAAGAAATAGAGACACCCCCCCCCAGGGTCCCACTCCGGCTCTGCAGAGCCAGGTTGCGCCCCAAGCTGCTCCCCCCCCCCCACCCGAGCACCTCTGAAAGGCGGGGGTCCCAGGCTCGTGTTGCATTAGCAGGACTGTCCTGGGCGTAGGGGGTACTCAGGGAGCTGAAGCGGGGGTAGGGGGGCAAAGAGACCTGTGCTGCTGCTGCAGCCCCCCCCCATTTTGCAGGGAAGAGACGTTCCCCGGAATTCTCCCGAGTTTGGGCGCAACGAGCGGAGTGGCCAGTGGGAGGATGGGGAGGTCCCGCCGGGGAAATTAAAAACGAAAGCAGAGCGCGGGGGGGGGGAAGGGAAGACTGCTGGGGGACGTTGCCAAGGGCGTCCAGGTTGGGTTGGTCCGGGGTGGGGGGGTCGAAGTGCTCGACGGGGGGGGGGCTATTCAGGCCTCCTGCTTCGCGGGCAAACCGGCCGTCCCGCAAACTGCATTCGGACGACCCACCCAGCTTCGCGCGAACTTGGTTTCGTTTTGGGGTCTTTTGCGTGCGGGTGGGGAGGGGGCTGCAGTTGTGCGAACCCGGACAACTCTTGGCGGGGCGGCCCCGTTGCTGGAGGCTTTCAAGGAAAGAAGACTGGACTGGCATCTGTCAGAAATGGTGTAGGGACGGACTCCTGCTTGGACAGGGGGGTGGACTAGATGACCTATAAGGTCCCTTCCAACTCTGCTATTCTAATTCTCTGGGACCCTCTGCGCCGACGGAAGCCCGGTTCCTAACCCTCCTGCTCCCTAGAAGTGCCCGGGTTTTTGTCTGTCTGTCTCCAGTTGATTTGGGGGGGGGGGACAGAAAGACCTGGTTGCAGTAGCAGCAGTTGCTGCCCCCCCCCGCGCACCCATTTGGCAGGGAAGGGACGTTCCCCGAAATTCAGCCGGACCCTCGCCCTTTAGAGACCCTCTCCTGCCTCCCTCTGTTCCAAGACGGAGGGGGGGGGGCGCTCCGCTCTCCCCACACCTACCTCATCTTCCCGCACTGCTCGCGCTCCGGCTGCCTCTCCCGATTTGGGGCAAGGCGAGTAGAGGCGGACGGGCGGCTGCTGCGGGTCAGTTTCGTTTTCCGTTTCTGGAGTCTGGAAATCGAAATCGAAAGTAGCGAGAGAATGGGTTGCTGAGAAAGCGTCAGCGAAGAGCCCGAGTTTTTTGCTTGCTTGCTTGCTTGCGAGAGAGAGAGAGAGGGAGAGAGAGAGATGGAAGGGGGGAGAGGGACAGAGTGAGAGAGAGAGAAGGAGGGAGGGGAGGGAGAGAGGGGGGAGGGAGAGGAGGAGAGAGTGAGAGAAGAAGGGAAAGAGAGAGGGAAGAAGGGAGGGAGAGAGGGGGGAAGGAGGGAGGGAGAGAGGGGGGAAGGAGGGAGAGAGAAAAGGACAGGGAGGGAGAGAGGGAAGGAGGGAGAAGGACAGAGGGAAGAAGGGAGCGAGAGAGAGAGAGAGGAGAGAGAGAGACGAGAGAGCGGGAGGGAAGGAGGGAGGGAGAAGGACAGAAGGAGGGAGAGAGAAGGGAGACAGAGCGGGAGGGAGGGAGAAGGGCAGAGGGAGAGAAGGAGGGAGAGAGAGCGGGAGGGAGGGAGGGAGAAGGACAGAGGGAAGGAGGGAGAGGGAGAGAGAGGAGGGAGGGAGAGAGACAGATAGAGCGGGAGGGAAGGAGGGAGAGAGAGGGAGGAGAAGAAGGGAGAGGTGGGCACCGCCCGTCTCGGGTCTAAGAGCAACTCTGGTTAACGGGATTGGCAAGGAGACCCGTTCAGACCGCCTGCTTCACGGGCCAACCGATCCTCTACCTAACCGCGTTCAGACGACCGACCACACAAGAGCGACCCTTGCTTTTTTTGAGCCCGCTGTATGCGGGTTAGGGGGCTGCAGTTAATGTGGATGCAGGGGGCGGTGGGGCGGGGCCGTCCGCTCGCCTCCTGGACCCTCTCCGCCGTCGGATGCCGGGGGAGGACCCGGGTTCAGCTCTAAAGCCCCCTTGGCTTGCTTTCTTGATCCCTGGAAGCGTACCGGGGGGGGACGGAAGACGCCCAGCGCTTGTCGCCAAGCCCGGCAATACGATGCGAGGCGATGCGCTCGTTCCCTGGCGGCCGATGATGCGATCCCGTGCGCGGGATCCAAATGTTTCCGCTCCGGGAGCCAGAGAGGAAGACGGTATCCCCCCTCCCCTTCCGGCGACCCGGGACCCCCAAGTCCGGGAGAAAGTCTTGCTGGGCAGTGGGGCGTCGTCGGAGGGCGTCTTTAGGATCGCTCCTGCGGGTTGTGGGAAGGCGACTCCGAGCGGTGGGAGAGGATTTTTTTTATTTTATTTTTTTGCAAAGCAGAATGAAAGCGCAAGTGCATCGACAGGCCTCCAGCGCCCGATCCTTGCCTCGGAATCCCGAATCGCTCGACCCATTTTAGTTTCTTTCTCTTTCTTTGCTTTTCTTTTTTTTCTTTCTTTCCCTTCCTCTTTCTTTCTACTTCCCTCCCTCCTTTCTTTTTCTTCATTCTGTTCATTTATATTCATTCATTCGCTTGCTAAATGTATGTATTAAATTGATTTTGCCGCGAGTCTCGTTTCGAAGGGAGGCAGAATGGGGGGGGAGGTGGGGTTCCTTTTAGTGGATTTATGTATTAATCAAATTCATTTACCGGGAAGGAGACGGGGGGGGCGTTCAATAGTCCAATTTGTAGGTGGAACCATGTACCATCTACCGACACGGGAAGATTTTACACGTGGTGGCCAGCCCAAATAAAGGAGAATATCTGTAGAAGAGGAAAGGAAGGAAAGAAAAAGAAAGAAAGAAAAGAAAGAAAGAAAGAAAGAAAGAAAGAAAGAAAGAAAGACAGACAAATAACTTGGGGAACTTGGTGCTGAGTTGTAAGTAATGTTGAAAGAAAAAATTTCATCAGGGTCCGGTCCAAGCCAGGAATAAGCAAAATGGAGACTGCCTTATTTTCCAAGCCACCCGCAGGCAGGACAAGAAGCAAGGGATGGAAACCCATCAAGGAGAGAAGCAACCTGGAATTAAAGAGGAATTTCCTTGACAGTGAGAACAATTAACCATCGGAACTCCTTGCCTCCAGAAGTTGTAGTAGGCAGGGTCTCCTGCCCAAAGTCCCGTCCGGCTCTGGTATTGGGTAGGAGTGAGTCCGCCGTTCTCCCCTCTCGCGCTCGGAGCAAAGCACGCGGGTCCACGTGCAATGCACCGAATCCTCTACCCCCCCACACACACACACACGTACACCGTGTTGTCTTGAGTTCACACAATTGCGCCCCCCTCCCCACCTGCAGACAAAAGGCGCAAACGAAACATGAGTTCACACAATTGCGCCCCCCTCCCCACCTGCAGACAAAAAGGCGCAAACGAAACATGAGTTCACACAATTGCGCCCCCTCCCCACCTGCAGACAAAAGGCGCAAACGAAACATGAGTTCACACAATTGCGCCCCCCTCCCCACCTGCAGACAAAAAGGCGCAAACGAAACATGAGTTCACACAATTGCGCCCCCTCCCCACCTGCAGACAAAAGGTGCAAACGAAACATGAGTTCAGACAATTGCGCTCCCTCCCCACCTGCAGACAAAGGCCGCAAACGAAACATGAGTTAAACATTGCGCGCCCCCTCCCCACCTGCAGAACAAAAAGGCGCAACGGACATGAGTTCACACATTTGCGCCCCCTCCCCACCTGCAGACAAAAGGTGCAAACGAAACATGAGTTCAGACAATTGCGCTCCCTCCCCACCTGCAGACAAAAGGTGCAAACAAAACATGAGTTCACACAATTGCGCCCCCTCCCCACCTGCAGACAAAAGGTGCAAACAAAACATGAGTTCAGACAATTGCGCCCCCTCCCCACCTGCAGACAAAAGGTGCAAACAAAACATGAGTTCAGACAATTGCGCTCCCTCCCCACCTGCAGACAAAAGGCGCAAACGAAACATGAGTTCACACAATTGCGCCCCCTCCCCACCTGCAGACAAAAGGCGCAAACGAAACATGAGTTCACACAATTGCTCCCCCCTCCCCACCTGCAGACAAAAGGCGCAAACGAAACATGAGTTCACACAATTGCGCCCCCTCCCCACCTGCAGACAAAAAGGCGCAAACGAAACATGAGTTCACACAATTGCTCCCCCCTCCCCACCTGCAGACAAAAGGCGCAAACGAAACATGAATTCACACAATTGCGCCCCCTCCCCACCTGCAGACCAAAAGGCGCAAACGAGACAAAGCTTGCGCTAATGCAGTTTGCTGGACGGCCGATTTGCCCGCGAAGCAGGAGGCCTGAATAGGCCCTCCCCCCCACCCCGACCAATGCAACCTGGGCTCGCCCTAGCCACTAGGCAATGTCCCCCAGCCATCTCCCCACTCCCCGCACTGCTTTCGTTTTCAATTTCCCCGGCGGGACCTCCCCATCCTCCCACTGGCCACTCCGCTCATTGCGCCCAAATTCGGGAGAGATAGCCGGAGCGCGACGGTGTGGCAGGATGAGGTAGGCGGGGAGGTGGGGGTGTCGGGACGGAGCACCCCGTAAGAACAGAGGAGGGGAGGGGGTGCCTAATGGGCGAGGGTCCCGCTGAATTCCGGGGAACGTCTCTTCCCTGCAAAATGGGGGGGCTGCAGCAACAGCACAGGTCTCTCTGCCCCCCTACCCCCGCTTCAGCTACCTGAGTCCCCCCCCCCGGGAGGTCCTGCTGATACAACACGAGCCTGGCACCCCCGCCTTTCAGAGGGGCTCGGGTGGGGGGGGGCGGCTTGGGGCGCAACCTGGCCCTGCAGAGCCGCGAGGCGCAGGAGCCGGGGTGGGGGAGGGGGCGCGCTGCAAGTGGGCCCCCCAGCGAGTCTCCAAAGGCAGTTCGCCCTTGCCCCACAAACCCACCCCCCAGATTTTGCAAAAGCTGCCTTGTTCCTGCCGAGGATGCCCCCCCCCCATCCATCTGTGGGACCAGCTCCCCATGGCCTGGGTAGCCTTGCCCAAACCCCAGCAGAGGGCCCCCAATCCTCCTCCCTCCCCCAGACTCTCCAGCCCTTTGCAGCCCCGAAGGTGCGGGAGCCTCGGCTGGGGAGGGGGCGTTGCAGGGGTACCCCCCCCTCCGGCAATAGTCCGGAACAGCCAAAGGCAGCTGCCCTCCCACCCCAGCAGACTCTGCATGGACTCTGGCAAGGCTGCCCCCATCCCAGCTGAGGGACCAGCTCCGGATGTCTTGAGTAGCCTTGGCCCCCCCACAGAGCCCCACCCCAGCAGAGGGCCCCACAACCCTCCTTCTCCCCCCCCCACTCCGCAACAGCCTTCCTGCCTGCCTCTACAGCCCTTTGCAGCCCCGAAGGAGCAGCACCCTTGCCTGGGGAGGGGCCGTTGCAAGGGTGCCCCCCTCCGGCAATAGTCCACAACAGCCAAAGGCAGATGCCCTCCTGCCCCACAAGCCCCCTCCCAGAGAGCCCAACCCATCGCAGGGCCCGTCAAAAGCTCCATCTCAAACTTGAAACAATGGAGGGCATCAGATTTTAGTGGGTTGTGGTGCAGTCCTCCCCTACACAATCGACTTTGAAAGTGTCCCCTCCCCTCTTTCCACCATCTCCCTCCTCCTGGCTTCCGGGAGGGTCCCTTCCTCGCCAGGGGTAGAAGGCCATGCCCAGAGATGAAGGTCTCCCTTTTACGCCGCCCCTGGCATTCACACAACATGGCGAGCCTGCTCAGTGGCAACCTTGTCTGCTCTGTGCCCAACGGAGGCCAAGTACAGGCAAGTTCTCGACTTACGACCACAATTGATCCCCCCAAAAAACCTCTGTTGTTAAGCGAAACATTGGTTGAATGGATTTTGCCCCACTTTACGACTTTTCTTGCCGCTGTTGTTAAGTGAATCATCGATAAATAAGTTGGTCGCACAGTCGTTAAGTGAATCCGGCTTTCCCCATTGACTTGACTCGTCAGAAGGTCGCAGAAGGGGGTCACACGACCCCAGGGGGACACTGCGACCGTCACAAATGTGAGTCGGTGGCCGAGCGTCCCAATGGAACTCACGTGGCCACGGGGAGGCTGCAAGGGTCATAAGTGTGAAAAACGGTCTTTCCCATGCCGTTGTAATTTTGAACAGTCACTAAGCAAATGGTTGTAAGTCGAGGACGACCTGTATTGTTTAACCCTAACCCTCCCCCCCCCCAGGAATGAGGACGGGGAAGCACAGCAAAGGCAGCCACATGGGTATCCCTAAAAGGGAAAAGGGGGGCAGGAAAGCTCCCGAGAGCTTTTAAGACTTGAGGCTAAAATGGGTTCCCTTCCTTGGAAGCTAGCTTCTGTGTAAGACCCCAAAGAGTGGGTTCACCATCCAAGGAGTTCCTCCGGTAATTGGGGGTCCAAACGGTGGCAGGGTCTGCTTCCCCATGAGTAGCCAGACTTGGCCAGGTTCACACGCTCAGGCTAGCCTGAACAGCGCCATTGTGGTCAACGCATTATCTGAGCCCACCTCCCGCTCCCTCCCAGGGCAGGTGTCCTTTGCCACTCACCCAGGGCTCCTCCATTTTGTCTTCCCCTCCTGTTCCCCACCCCCCAGCAGACCCCTGAAGGAGAAGCTCCAGCGCCTGCAGTGTCATTTCACCTGGGATTTTGAGATCAAAGACAAAATGAACATCAGACACTCTCTTGTGACTCTGTCTCTCCGCCTGGAACACGGCCCCTTCCATAACTGGGGCACCTATCTCGCCCTGAAGGCCTATCTGCGCCATCTAGAGGGGAGCCCCAAAGAGGCCCTGGACATCCTGGAGGAAGCCGAGGAGGTCTTGAGGAAGGAACCTCAAGAGACCTTCTCACGCCAGGTCCTGCTGGTCTACGGGAACTACGCCTGGATCTGCTACCACTTGACCGATTACGACAGGGTGGACCTCTACTTGGGACAGATCCGCCAGATCTGCCGGGACCTGTCCAGCCCTGAGCCCTACTCGGCCCCGATCCCGGAGGTCTACACCCAGAAGGGCTGGTCCCTCTTGGCCATGGGCTTCCGGAACGGCCAGCTTGCCAGGGAGTGTTTCCAGACGGCCCTGGAGCTGCAGGAGCCCAATGCGGAGCTGGAGGAGGGCCTGACTTTCTCCACCTTTGCTTCCTGGACACACTTTTACGATGACAAGTTACAGGAAGAGGGCCGGAAGTTGCTGGAAGGGCTGATCCGTAGTCAGCCCGAAAATTATGAAGCCAAAATATACTTGGCACAGATTCTCTGTTGGAAAAATCCTGAAAGAGCGGGGCACCTTGCTGACGATGTAGTCCAGAACAGTCTCAACCCGGAACTCCTGAGAATGGCCGCCAAGGTCATTAAGATCCACTCTACCTCCCAGGCCATTTCCACCCTGAAGAAGGCCATCGCCCTCCAAGGTGACTACTATCTCTTGCACCACGACCTTGGCATGCGTTACATGTACCTGTTAAATCCAGGATCCGAGGGGGACAGAGCGGAAATCGTGGAAGACGCCATTGAGTGCTTCAAACGGTCACTGGAATTCGATCCTGGATCTGTGTTTTCCCGGCTGAAGCTGGCGAAGTTGTACGGAGAGAAACACCCGCTTTACGAGGAGGAGGTCTACCTGGGCTTGATGGAGGAGCTGCCAACCGCCAGCAAGTGGTGCCAGAAGTCTTTCTATCTGCACTGGGGGGATTTCCTCCTCCGCAAGAAGGGGGAGAGGCAGGCAGCGCTGTGGGCGTACGAGGCTTGCTTGGAGGTGCCGGGGGACCACCCTCTGGAGCAGAAGCAACTGGAGCAGCGTCTGAAAGAGCTAGCCAGGGCCTTCCGTTCTGAAGGCGAGACGGAACAAGAGAGAGCGGTCCAGCGTCTGCTGTACGAAATGGCAAGAAAGTGTTGGGCTCGTCGTCAAAATGCAGCGTGGGCCCTGCCCTCAAGGGACCTTCCCCAGTAACCAGTTGGGAGTATCGGGGTGCTCCATCCCCATGGGGGTGGTGCCCCCTCACAGCCCTGAGGCTGCTCCTTCCTGGGATATTTCTGGAAAGCAAAATAATGTGCATGAATAATCCAGGGTGCACACCAGACAATTTTACACCATCCTGCTGCTTGCAGATACGAACCTTGCGACAACATAACAGTATGTAGCGCCACCCCCGTAGGCAGCGCTTAAGTCCGGGCCCTCCCAACCTCCCCTCCAAGTGGCCACTAGCCCAAAAAGGCCACTCATGTTGGCGCCTCTGCCTAACAGGGCACATAACGTGGTATTCAGTCACAATTGGCAGCCACGCACATGAGGCGGTGATGGTCACTCTCTCTCAACGGTGACTCGCATGGGTGGATGGTGGTTGATCTCTGGCAATAAGAACCTTACAGGGAAGATGGTAGTCAGTCTCTAATGACAACAACTTGCCGAGAACGATGTTAATCAGCCTGTGGTGATGGCAACTTGCCTAGAACGATGGCGGTCAGTCTTTAGTGGCAACAACTTGCCTAAAGCAATGGTAGCCAGCCGCTGGTGTCAACAACTTGCCCAGGACGATGTTAATCCATCTTTGATGACAACAACTTGCCTAGAATGATGGCATCCAATCTCTGGTGCTGGCAGAGGCCTCCCTCGTCCACTCTTCTCGCCCCTCTCTGACCTCACTCCATGTAATCCCCTTTTATCTCCCTATTAAAAAAACCCCTTACCTCTCACTAAAAGACGTATGTCAAACTCTTCCCTAACTCTCCCTCTGCCTAGCTTACTCCAACAAGGGAAAGGGATTAAAACTTCCCAAACTACCCCCTCTCTCTTCATCTGGCCTGCCCATAATGAAAGAGAAAGAAACAATAAAACTTCACTCCCCCCCTCTCTCTCTGCCTGTCCTGCTTCAAGCAAACGCTTCAAGCAAACAGCTCATATCAGGCGCTCTCTCTCTCTCTCTCTCTCTCTCTCTCTCTCTCTCTCTCTCTCTCTCTCTCTCTCTCTCCTGCTTCAAGCAAACACCTCTAGCAAGCTTCTCTCTCTCTCTCTCTCTCTCTCTCTCTCTCTGCCTGGCCTGCTTCCAGCAAATGACTCCAGCAACTACTCTCACCCTCTATCCCTCCCTGCCTGGCCTGCTTCAAGCAAACAGCCCCAGCAACTACTCTCACTCTCTCTATCCCTCCCCCTTTCGTCCAGCTTGCCTGTAATGAAGCAAAAAAAGCAAAGGCGAAAACCCCAGCTTCTTCTTCTCTCTTTGATCAGCTGGCTCAGAATGGCAAGCTCCACCAAGCCTTCTCTCTTCCTCCCTTCTATCGGCTTCCTCCTCCTTCTTCTTCCCTCCTCCGAGCCCTGCCCTGCCGCCAGATCCATGGCAGCTGCCGGAGCTCCTCATCTTCCTGCCTAATCGGCAGGGCTCCTGCAAAGCCTCTCAGCTGGCCCCATTCTCACCCCAGCTCCGCTACAAGTATTGTGTCAGGCTCTACCTGTGCCTTAAAAGTAGACTTGATCTAGTTTGTCAGATAGAGTGCTCCTAATGCTTCATGCTCCCCTGCAAGCATCTAATGTTCTAATCATCGTTTTAGTGGCCTTTTAGGATTTTATATTTTTTTTTTAATGTAGACCTTCAGTTTTGTATCCTGTAGCTTTTTATACTTTGGATAGCTAGATGGGTGTTATACGACTTCAATAAATAAACGGATATTAGTATTGTTTTCTAGACTCTGATTTATTTTCTACACTCTTTCACTCTGCCCTCCTTTGGGTGGACCAGAAGAAACTTTTAAAATTGTTTTAGGGCAGTTGCCTTCAGATCTTCCCTTCTTTCCTGTTCTTCCTCAATTTTCTAGGCAAAAGCACAATCACTCCAACCCTACACACACACACACACACACAAACAAACATACATACACAGAGAGTCAAGTTTTCAGTGAGGATTGGGCCACACATTCAGGAATTGTTGAGTTTGTTAAGGAGGAAAGCTTGTTGAGTCAGGATCAGAGGTCCTGGGGTGCCTGGCCCAATTGCAGAGTGTGTGTGTGTGTGTGTGTGTGTGTGTGTGTGTGTGTGTGTGTGTGTTGGGAAACACCTAGCCAGGCATTGAAGAGGAGATAAGTGGGGTGTTAGCCTTGAATCATTGATGTGTTCCCAGGCTGAGGCTGGCAGTCTGGGGAGATTTCTGTATTATAGGCAAAATACAAAAAAGCATAGATAGTCTTCAACTCAATTGAGCCCAAACTTCTATGTTGTAAAGTGAGAAATGTGTTAAGTGTTTTGCCCCATTTTACGACATTCCTTGCCACCGTTGTTAAGTGAATCACTGCAGTTGTTAAATTAGTAACACGGTTGTAATGTGAATCCATGGGGATGCTGCAACGGTCATAAGTGTGAAAAACGATTGTCATAAAATTGAGTTTAAGCCACTCAAAATAGAGTTTTCCAACTGTTCTTTTATTCTTGTGTGATTCGGACAAAAAGCAAAGCAAGTGTGCCACTAAGCTTAATTAGTTCCTTTATATTTGTACATATCCTTGAATAGAATAGAGCTGGAAGGGACCTTGGAGGTCATCTAGTCCAACCCCCTGCTCAGGCAGAAGCCCTATAACATTTCAGACAAACGGCTGTCCAGTCTCTTCTTAAAAACTTCCAGTGTTGGAGCATTCATCGCTTCTGGAGGCAGGTTGTTCCACTGGTTAATTGTCCTCACTGTCAGGAAGTTTCTCCTTAGTTCCAGCCTTGGGGGAGAGCACAGATGTCTTTAGGGGGGGCTGAACCCGCAGATCTGTGGATTGGCACGCAGGGGAGAGCAGAGGGGCCAGTGGAGCAGGGGAGGGGAATGTGTGTGTGAGAGAGAGAGAAACAGAAAGAAAAAGTGTGAAAGAGAAATAGAAAAAGAGCGAGAGCTAGAAAGAGTGAGACACAGAGAAACAGAGAGAGAGAGTGTGTGTGTGAGAGACAAAAAGTGTGAAAGAAATAGAAAAAGAGTGAGAGCTAGAAAGAGCGAGAGACACACACAGAGAGAAACTGAGTGTGTGTGTGAGAGAGAGAGAGTGTGTGTGAGAGAGAGAGAGAGAGGAAAGCTGGTGCTGTAACCGGAGTTGCTCCGCCTGGCTTCGGCGGAGCGTTGGGGCTCTCCGATATCAAGCAGCCCATGAATAATTGAGGCCGGGGACGGTTGGGAGAGGGGGGGGGCTGTCAGTTTGGAGGTTCCTGGACTCTTTCCTGGAGGAAAGCAGGGGGAACGGCTGCTTTCTCACACACACACACACACACACACACACACACACACACACACGCTGCAACCAAGATTCTCCAAAGGTGGTAGAGGTACGGGGTTGGGAGGTGGGTGGGCTTCTTTAACTTCTCTCCCTCAAATCAGGTAGGGAGGAGCGGCCGATAGAGGGGGGGAGGAGGGGGATGCTGCCCTTCTGTTCCCCCCTCCCCGCTTTTCTTGGCCCCTCTTGACTCCTGAAGGATGCTCCTTCGGGCCTCCTCCGAGCAACGTTGGCAAGATTCCCCTGCCTGCCCCCCCCTCCCCACTTCGGGCCCATGAGGGAGCTCCCCCCTCCCCGTGCAGCGTTTACAGGCTGAAGTGTCCCTCTTCCTGGTGGCCCAGCTTAGTAACCATCCTTACCCCACCCCCCTCTGGAAAGTAACCAAGTTAACCCCAATCAGTATCAAGTGAGGTTTCCCCTCCCCCGACCCAACTTGTGGGGCTGTGCAAATCCAGCTCTTTTTGTCTGCCCTCCCCCCCATGGGAGGGGGGACGCCGAGAGACTTTGCCGGGGGTTCGGCTTTGGGACCAGAGACCGCATCAAGGGAGGGAGGGAGAGAGAGAGAGGAGGGGAGAGAGAGAGAGAGGTGTATACCATCATCCCCAACCAACCTGGATGATGGGCTTTGTATTCTAGGACCATAAATGAGAGGGCAGTCCTGCCATAATACGGACGTAATCATCATCAAAGCTACTTCCTCCCCAACTCTTTGGAAGGAGAGAGTGGCTGGGCTCCATCATCCCCCAGATGGAGGCCAGACCACCTCAGCCAGAGGCCCGGGGGCTTCTGGGAGACGGAGACCTCCAATGTGGGCCCTTCCAGACACCAGAAGAACGGGCTCAGCTGCGAGCTGCTGTCTACCAGGTAGGAGAAGTTATGCCAAAGCATTGCAGGAAGATGTTTATGGAGAATTCTCCGTCATCCAGGTCCTGGTTGTCCCACAGATGATTTTCCAGGAGGCAACTGGACTTCCTTGTTTTTCTTTGAAGATGTTTCGCTTCTCATCCAAGAAGCTTCCTCAGGTTCTGACTGAATGGTGGGGAACGGAGGATTTATACTCCTTGCAGAGAGCTGGTCATTTGCATCCTTTTAGAGGGCCGTTGAGCCCACCTGGAGGTTTGTCTGTGTGTGTTGTAGACTGGAAATAGACAGTGTGGTATCCCTTCCCCTCTGTTGAGAGAGGGCTGCTCAATCTTGACCAAGATGGCTTCTTTGGCCCCTCTTTTAGGTGACCCTGAAGACACAGATAAGCCTCCAGGTAGCATTAACGGACTCGCTAAAAGAATGCAAATGTATAAATTTTTCCGTTCCCCACCATCCAGTCAGAGCTGAAGAAGCTTCTTGGATGAGAAGTGAAACATCTTCAAAGAAAAATAAGAATGTCCAATTGCCTCCTGAAAAAGCACCTTTACAGGAAGAGAAAGTTGGACTTTTTTTGCCCAAAGGATGTCCTGGATTGCCCTGGAGAAGCTCTGAAGAATAAAAATTGAGAAACAATCTGGAGGAGAAGAAGTGATAAAAATTGCTCATATCGGCTCCTGTTGGGATTGGATGAAATGAGGGGAAACACCTTGTCGTGGAAAAACCCAATGAAAAGAACACGACAGCAACACAAAACAATAATTCTTACTTTTAAGATTCAGAGGTTTATTTTGCTAATCATTTGGAACATAGCAAGCATAATAACCCAACATCACTTACGTTAATAACCCATTGCAATGAGGTCCACTGGCATAGCAGATTCCAAAAGGACAGCTATCGGCTAATGGCAAATAAATCAAGTCCAGACCCAACTCTTTGTACCTTTTCCCGTTCTAAGACTGTAGTCAGATGGTCTGCTGATTTTTGTTGATTTCTGCTGACTTTTGCTGACTTTCTACTGACTTCCTGCTGACCTTCTGCCGAACATAACTTTCCACATATACCCGTGTACATTGGAACCCGTATCCGTCAGCTACTTTCAGTTCCCTATTTCTTAACTGTTCCAGACTTTACGTTCTGAATATATCTGAAACAAGCAAGCTTAGCAAAATCATATTAAGTAAAGCACAATTGCAAAACTGCAAAATTAAACAGCACAAACTTTGGTTCAATACTTTGTCCGTGAGGCCCGATTTAGTTTACCTGGGCCTAAACCTTGCATAGAAAAACAATAGACAAGATTTTCGTTTTTCTACAATCTTGAAATGTTACATGGAATATGTGAATACTGAATAAAGAGTTGGAAGGGACCTTGGAGGTCTTCTAGTCCAGCCCTCTGCTCAGGGAGGAGACCCTATACCAGGGGTAGGCAACCTCGGCTCTTTTATGATTCATGGACTTCAACTCCCAGAATTCCTGAGTCAGCTATGCTGACTCAGGAATTCTGGGAGTTGAAGTCCATGAGTCATAAAAGAGCCGAAGTTGCCTACCCCTGCCCTATACCATTTCAGACCAAAAGGACCAGGGTTGACGTGATTGCAGTGAAATGAAGGAAGAACTAGGAAGGACTAATAAAAAGGACTAGCGGTGACATGATAGCAGTCTTGCAAAATTTGAGGGGCTGCCCCAAAGAAGAGGGAGTCAAGCTATTCTCCAAAGCACCTGAAGGCAGGACAAGAAGCAACGGATGGAAACTGATCAAGAAGAGAAGCAACCTAGAACTAAGGAGAAACTTCCTGACAGTTAGAACAATTAACCAGT